CGTTGACTGCCCAACACTGTGCTATTCGGCCGTGGTCGATTGGCCTCTAAGCGCCKAAATGCACGAGTAAGCCTTGTCGAGGTCAATGTGGCTGGGTGCGGTCGATTCCTTGACTGGTGAACAGAGATGCCAAGATTCCGATTGCCATATCAAGCAAACAGTGTTCGCCAGTGAAGAGGAGATCGTGGCCAACTTCTAAAAGGTCGACGAACGGGATAATTTGTCTGAACTCACGACCAGCACCCTTATCGAAGCACCAAACGCGACCAATGGTCAATGCAATAGCATATGCACTGTAATCTGACCTGTACAAGACCGCAACTGACCGTTCATTAGTGAAAGCCCCAACACAGCATGGGAGCAAGCATCAATTTGTCCTAGCTCCGGTAACTCGGCCCGTCCATTTTCAGTTTGGTTGCGAATGCCGAGCACTTAATGAACTCATTTAACATACGCTCTGTCTACAATGGTTCTGGCACCGACGGCGTGGCTCAGCCTCTTTTCTTGAATTGTCGACGGGGAGCTCGAGCTCAGCTCCAGAACGCCAAGTTGGGGTGCAGTGCATCGTAAGCGCATCTCGATCGGTCGTTACTGACTGAATCTGGCAGATAATTTGCGCATGGCTGTTATCTATCATATTCCCAATGTGTGTTATGCCATGTGCTTCCCATGGATTTCCCTCGGAGCTATGAACTCGCCCGTGCATGGCTAACCCAACCGTTTTGGTTCATGCGGGGTAATCAGACTGCTGTCGATGGAGTCCTCCATAGTTCTCGATCCGTTGGGATGAAGTTTTGATGCTGTCCTCCCGAGAATGGATCTCGGTGAGGATTCCTCTGCCCCCTAACTGAGGCAGTTAGGCTGAAGCGGCCAGTTCGATGTCATGAACCCCTTATCCTTACAGAGGATGTCCCACTGATCTTTCTTCGCTGCAGCTAGCTACTTTCCACGACATCAGATGCCTCCTCTCTCGACTTCCCGTCCCGTACTCGGCGGCTCCTATCCCCTCTCCGGCTATCTTCTCCAGACAGTAAGATAACCAGGTACCACCTCCGCGACGAACCATCCCCTCTTCCACAACGTCGCTGACCAACCCAGAAGCAAAACTATCTCCCATTGTCCTTGCAACCACTTGTACGTACGAAGGTCAAGTACACATATCTCCCCGGCCTACCTTTGTGAATGAGCCCTCCGCCTCACACGACGATAGGTTTCTGGGGAAGCATAGCTATGAAGTGAACGCCTAGCCAGGTGATGCGGCTCTAGTGGGAGCCGCGCCGGAATCAGTATAGGCGGGGTACTGCTACCGTAGACGCTGATACTGGAGTATAGTGGAGCCGAGATTCAAGTGAGACGGCATTCGCGGAGTGTCCCATATTACGAGGTCGGGGACGCACAGCACATCTTGTAAGTCGCACACGGGGTGCACGCCCTACCTGACTGCATACTCCGTAATCTTCAATTGCCTCGTCATGAGGTAGATGATATACGATGGGTCAAGTTGTGCTACCTCTGCTCGGTACAGAGATTTTACCCATGAGATTTAGAACTAGTGCCGTTGCTGCATATTAGATCATGACCAAGACAAGGAACTGAGCGAATGGCTCATACTGCCCTCAGTTCTGCTACGGGTTCCAGGACGAAAAATAGCCTCGCGGACAAAGACGAGAAGAAAAACGCTTGAGGTCTCCGGAGGTTGTAAATGTCCATGCTTCAATCACTTTCGCATTGACGTTAAAAAGCATTCTAAACTCGAATCTCTACATGGTTGCTTATCACTTGCTCCCCGAAGATAGCAGCAGTTGCAGAGCTTTATCTTGTTGTAGGAGCATAATGATACGCGTCTGGAATGAATGCATGGAAGATTATCTGAGCGGTCATTCTGCTATAGCTCTTCATGGTTCGAGACTACATATGAATTGAAGACTTGAAATATGAAGGACAAACAAAATCTATATGCATAACACCGGGGAGTATCACATATCCAAAACATGACCGGAAAACGCCACCTTCAAGACCAATGAACAAGATCGCAGTCTATGAGCTCTTACCCGTCTCAACAAAATACGTGCCTGAAGGGAGAACAAATTTAATCGGCTCGGGCACCTTAACCGGAGGATCCTGCGTCCTGATCTAGTCAGCTAAGTTCTTTGAGTACAAGAGGGCGACTCACTTGACGACAGGCCATCCATCCTTGTACTCGAGATAATGCCAGCCCAGCTGAGTATCCTTTAAACATGTCAGCCAAGTTCAAGCATCATCAACAACAATATACGTACGCTTTCCTTAAACCCTATCGATCCGTTGACTACCGGACAGTCAGCAACTGAAGCTCGTCTCTCGCCAGGGGATGGAAACTCACAAAAGTGATGGTAGAGGATATCCCCTCGCTGGCCATTGCCTGGTAACACGCCCACGCCACCCGGCGCGTAGAGGTTGCCGTTGTTCGACCCATAAATCTTCTCTCCATACCCGTCGAGAAGCTTCTTGCCTGATTTATCCACAAACGGACCGGTTACGCTCTCTGACCGACCGACTCGGATACGATATCTGATTAATCGTCAGTACTGCCGTAAGTAAAATCGAAGAGTAACTTACTCCTCTCCCTTGAGCGGAAACCCTTTATTAACCATCTGGCAACAGATCCCCTGACTAAACCAGAGATAATAGTACGGCGCATGATACGACATGTACGCTCCCTCTTGCGGTCTCCAGTTCCCAGGCATGTAACTCAGGTGCGTTGCATCCGGTTTGTTTTCATTCTTAACGGACAGCTTGCCGTCCTTGTCCACCTGCAACGGCAGACTGTAGATATCATCCCAGTAGCTCCCGTAGATGAGATACGGCTGTCCGCTCTTCTCATCAACCTGAAACGCAGGATCAATTGCATTCGTGTTCTTGTACGGCGCGATCTGCGAACGTTCCCCGGAACCCGTGTTGATCAGTGCGCCGTGGTCCGTCCACTCCTTTTCCAGGTCGGAGGTAGACGCATACCCGATGGCACTATCCTGGCTGCCGCTCTGGCTGATGGCGTAGAAGCAGTAGAATGTGCCTTTGTATTTTGTGACGGTTGGTGCCCAAGGCCGATTGTTGTTCTGTTTGTTGATCACGCTGGCTTTGCTCAATACCGTACCGACTTGTGTCCATGGTCCCGAGATGCTCGAGGCCTTCCAGTAGGGGATGTGGATGCCTCCTTTGAATAGGTAGAGGGTGTCCTTTTCCTCGATGATGTTGGGGTCGTGGACTTGCAGGTTTCCGCTGTTCGGCACGGGGAAGTCGTTGGAGAAGGTGAAGATCTTGTTAATATCGTTGGCGGTTGGATTGATGATACGTTGGCCGTTTCGCGGGATAACGGCCGCGAGGGACCGAGAGAGCAGCGTTAGAGATAGAAGTAGTTGTTGTAGAATCATCGTGATGGTAAGAATAATGCTTGATGTGTACGCAATTACTGATTTATACCATGTCAAGGGTAGTATTTATATACAATTGTATATCTTAATTCTACGTATAAGCCGCTACCTCCAGCTCAAGGCTGATTCCACTGCTGTGGCTCATCTGTTGGTACTTGGTATCCAACACCAACCACGTTGGTCACGATATGGTTCATTGCCGATCCGTGCTAAGCTCACAGCCCTCTGTTGATCATTGGTGGCAGTTTTCTGTTCATTGAGCCAAATACAGCCGCTTCAGGGTCCAAGCAGCCTTGTCGGCCCCCACAACAACCCTAGCATCGCCCCACAACGAACTTAAATCTGTAGTAGTAAATGCCTTGCGCTCTATAGCGTGCTATTAATAGCACACTTGCATCCGTCAATTAAAGCCACTCTGGGGCATATACTCAATGATAGAAGCAACATGAAATTGTCTGGTACGTAGACACACCACTTTTAGGGCACAGAAATCAATACACAAGTCGAAGCTAATATGCAACAATTTTATCGATGAGGTTGGGCACAGAAATCACCGTTCCCTATATTTCACAACGGAAGATAGACAATCTGAATTGGGTTATTTTGAAGTTTTCGAACTCAAGGCATTATCTTGGCCCCAAACTGCGCCGTCGGGTAGACTGTACGAGATCGCCTCTGAGAACGAAGAGATAATAAGACGGCAAGTCTCTCGAATTGGTCTACTCAAAAAGTCTTTGCGCTTCCTGTGATAATGCCTTCCTCGCATCCTTGACAACTTTCGTGCAACACAGTGTTGGAGAATTTCGGGCGCAGACGATAGTAGGGACAGTTAATGATGTTTTTCAGGACTCAAAATATGTGGAATATTGCCCAGGCAGCTCACACTGTCGGAAGGTAGCATGTCTACCAGAGAACGTCAATTGGATCGATCCTCAGCTAGGGTATCAACCATTTGCACTGAGCGCACTCGGATGAACCGCATCCAATTAAGCCTTCGCGAGTGGACGATGTACATGTCCCTGTTCTTGGAAAGATCAACCGCTGCGAGCATGGCTTCAAGCATGTGATGCGTTGCCCTACCGTTGCTGCGAGCGGGAATAAGCTGGATGGCCACTGGATGACGTAAATCCAAGCATTACTTAGGTGGTATCATCTGTCCTTTCTTCCGTCTGGATGCTCGTCCCAGGGTTACAATAGATGCCTAAAGACGCATGTGCATGTATGAAAACAATAAAATCGACTGATGCTTAGGCAGACGAATAAATTGGACGTTGACTCACTTGGAGAGAATAAGCCCAAGCGATAATAAAGATGCGCCAGCTAGCTGATGATTTGCAGGGTTCAATCGATCTCAAGGCCCAAGCGTCGGAAATCATTGGATAAGCCCCCTGTTCCATCCATGGTCAAGCCTACCCAGCTGTCAACTCGGAACACCCGAGCCTCGCGTGTGCTAGCATATTTGTCCGACGGGTTGTGGGGGAATCCCGCTCCGGGGTGCACCTGATCTCATTTGATGACTATAAATGATCGCAGTACTGATAGCGAAGAACTTCACATATTCAGAGAAATCAACAGAATTTCACCTGCAGTATGGGCTCCATAACAGCGACCAACTCTAAAACCCATCCACTTGAAGCTCTGGTAGGTAGAACCGCGTAAAAGCTCGGATAAGGCATAGTTCTAACCATCCCATAGCTTGCAATCGGCAGGGAGGAGCGTGAGCCAGTGGAATTGCGAGTCACTGGAACCTTTCCACCACTCCTTGCAGGCACATTTTACCGCAATGGACCCGGCACCCACCGTGTCGACTCGAAAACAGGGTCGTATGCACGCAGTCACTGGTTTGACGGCTTTGCGCAGCTGCATCGATTCCAGATAATTCCCACGGACGACGGCAACTGTCGCGTGCTCTATAACTCTCGATTCCAGGTCGACGCGTTGATGGAAGAAGCACGCCGCACCGGAGATCTCAAGCCCGTCACCTTTGGCCAAAAGAGAGACCCGTGCGAGTCGTTCTTTCACAAGATGAAAACCGTCTTTGAGCCGACTGAATTCATGTCTAATCCACAGATGGTCAATGCGAATGTCACCGTGTTCGCCAACATGCCCGGCATGCTGAAACATGGCCCTGCTGTACCGGCATCCTCGCAATTAAAGTTGCTGACCTGCCTGACTGATGCAAACCAAATCACGCACGCCAATCCGGAGACCCTCGAGCCGATTGCTGCGAGCACACAACAAGAGCTTCACCCGGATCTGAAGGTACTACTCCAGCCCCCCTCTGATTCTTCCACGGCATGTTTGGGACTAATCGCTGAGAAAGGGACCATTCACCTGCGCGCACCCGCAATTCGACCCCAAAACCGGAGATGTATACAATTACAATCTGCACCTAGGCCCTAGAGGCACCTTTCGCATATACCATACTTCGGCCAATACATCCAAAACAGATGTCATTGCCACATTCTCAACAAAGGCAGCCTATATCCACTCCTTCTTCATGACGGAAGACTACATCGTCCTCTGCGTCTGGCCCTCCTACTTCAAAGGCCTCGGGGCCTCCGTTCTCTGGGAGCGCAACATGCTCGACGCAATGAAATTCGATGCTACTGCTCAGGCGCAATGGTTCGTGGTCGACCGCAAGGGCCACCGAGGCGTCGTTGCCAAGTTCGTCAGTCCGCCCTTTTTTGCCTTTCACACGATCAATGCTTTCCAAGAACCGGGAGACAAGAATACCGTGGACATCATCTGTGATGTAGTGCAGTACGCCAACATGGATACCCTGCACCGAACCTACTACCAAGACTTGCTGTCGACCGACGGTAAGATTTCGAATTTCACAGTGAAAAGATCAGAAATACCCACGACCGTCCGCTATCGCCTACCACGAGTACCCATAGAGTCTACTATGAGAACAGTTGCCGCAGCGGAACGAGTCTTTGGATTTGTATCCGGTGAACTCCCAACGATCAACCCGCGATTCGCAACCAAAAGAGCGCGATATCACTATTGCGTCGTCAACCGAGGACACACTTCCTTCTTCGATGCAATCGGCAAGGTCGATCTGGACACGCAAACAGTAAAGTACTGGGGTAGCGAAACGACGCCTCATACGCCCTCTGAGCCGATTTTCATCCCCGACGGCACCGGCGAGGCGGAGGATGCGGGTTATCTGCTTAGTGTGGTCTTGGACGGAGAGACTGGGACAAGTTACCTGGTTTGTCTTGATGCGAGGACGTTGACCGAGGTCGGCAGGGCTGAACACGACCACGCAATTAGTTTTGGGTTGCATGGAAGTCATTATTCCGCGGTTTGAGTGTTATGCAACTGGGTTATATATTAATGCTATTTATTTTCTTAAAGAAGATTGTCGCTTGCCGTAACTGTTAAACGAGGTGTCTCAGTATTTCAAGCCCAGCATATCGAAATTATTAACGGTTCTCCGGACAGGGCAACTCATGTAGACAGTTCTCGTTTAACCTTATGTTCCGTGATGGGTACTCTCTGTGGACTGATCCTGTTTGACACTGAGTATATTCGCTGACACATGTTGACGATGCTTGACACGGTTCGGCTTAACAAAGGCAATCTGAAAAGACATATAAGATCCAGTAGCATAGATCCGCGAGTCTCTTCGATAAACTCAATCAACAGATAGCCATTGTGAACTATAGGGTCTTTGCTTTGACGGCGGGGGCATAGTTTGAAGGAACAGGTTTTTTCAGCCAGGGTAGAAAATACTGACGCAAGAGCTGAAACCAGCGAGTAAACAATGGCAGGTATTCGAGTCGAGTAAACTAAAAGTTGAACTATAAGCGACAAAAGTCACATACATTGGCTACAATCCATACCGTCTCGCCGGTGGACAAACCAAAACCATATAACTTTGGGATCGGCACATCCGGATAGTTCTCCTGAAGCCATGCATAGGATCCTGCTTCACATCGGATTATCTCATCGCAATTGCCTGGTCTGAAACTCTCGCCGACGCGGATACGGTAATGGAAACCGCATAAGAACGCGCTCGTCCCAACTGGCTATCGTAATGGGGACGCAGACATTGAAGCTGCCATAAAGCCAACTTTCCATGTCTGCCACATGGCATTCAGAGGATGATCCCAGGCCAAGATGGTGAGTAACAGCAGCTTTCATCCATTCGCGTTTGTCATGAAGCTGAGCAAAGAATCTAGTTTGCTCAGAGAAGTATCCGAGCTGATGGAGAATATTCAATTCTTCGCCCTTGGCATCTGAGTATGTTATCTTTCTTCGAAGAAGCTGTCTCGTTTTAGGCATTACGACGAATGTCAGGAAAGAAGTCGATGTTGATTGACGATTCAGGGGATACGCCTACATATCACAAGTCACGTGTTCCAGCGCCCTGTTGACATATGGCTCACCAATCAAAGTTCATAACTAGTGTACTATATGCTGATCAATATCACGATGGTGAGGATGGGCATCTCAATCCTTGATGCTGACAGAACCTTAAATGATGTAATCCTGGAGAGGATAGCAACATCAGATTTATTATTTGCTTTTTAAAAGGCACCAGAACAAGTTTGATACATGACACTTGATGCTGTTTTTGAGTGGCGCCAGGATCCTTGCTCAATCACATCCTGTGAATGCACTGTACTGCACTGCACTGCCACATAGTCCGGCAAGCTCAGCCTTGCCAGTCTCATTCACTAATACTTGAGATTATTTCTCAGACCTGTCCGCTTAAACCTCACATCACCATTCCTCTGTTGTATACTTGAAGTCTTCGATCTATGCGCGAGCTTGCGACCTTACTGTGAAACAGTTTCAGTCGGCCATAAGGATAGACCACTATGGCTGAGAACCTGGGTGTTGTAGGGAGTGCGATCAGCATTTTACAATTGGTGGAGCAGACGATCCAAACGATAAACCGTGTGCGAGCTCTGCGGGCTTTTATGGGAACAGTTTCAGATGACCTGGAGGAGTTTCTTGATGATATTGAGATCGTGCAAAAGATCCTGATGACACTGACGCCAGAGATGCTCGACGCGCTCAGTGTGCCATTGATAGAGCGCCGATTGCAGAGATTCCAGGCAGACTTGACCGTATTTGCAGCTGTGGTACAAACCGAGCGGGACCGTGTTGCAAATAAAAGACTCGCAAAGTTCAAGCTATTTTTGAAAAAGGAAAAACTGCAGAAACAGAGGGACAGCCTCGAAAATATCAGGCACACACTGATATTACTTCAGCAAACTTACTTCAGGTCAGTAGATATGCTCTGTGTATCCTTGCAAGTCCTGATGCTTCGCGCTTCTGGCATACTGAGTGATCTATATCATAGTGCCCATGTCCGAAATTTGCGTTTGATAGAGAATTCTGCAAGTAATGCTCCGACGAACACAGCAATTATGCAAGCGTCAAGTGATTGTCAGCAGCTGGAGTAGTAAGTTGACATGAAATATGAGTCCAAAGCTCAAAGCCGACCCGCGACAGCAATCCTCGACGGCCAAAAAAACTTCAGCACACATACGCCTGTGGGACCCGAAAGAATAGAAACTTCTCGTTCCGCACACCCCTTTTGTTTGTCGACAAGTTCTGGAATCTGAACATCACTGAAATCAACTCAGGCTGGAACTTCGGCATTCGGTCATACAACGTCATACCGGACAACTCTGCAATCATTCACCACTGTCAGTCTGGCAACATTGAAGAAATTCAACGACTGTTTGACAATCGTCTTGCGTCTCCCTTCGACTGCGATGAGGATGGATGGTCGTTGCTCCACGTATGTATAGTATTAGGCACTACTCCTCACATCTGTATTTGATCTAATCAGGTCGACAGTGGGCCGTTGGCTGTGGCCAACTAGAAGTTTGCAAGTTCCTATTGCAGAATGGTGCCGATCCTACCGTGAGGGATGGCATAGGACAGTAGGTCGCCTAAGTGCCACCACTGCAAAGTGAAACTTACTGAAGACATGCAGGACCGCTTTGGAGTTTAGCACCTACTATCGGTGGATGGCTGACCCGCAGAATCTGGAGGACCTAGACCGCACTGTCAATCTTTATCGCCTGCTTCTCACGGACAATGAAGATGTGCTGCTTGAGAAGCCCGAGAGTACATTCGTTGGACGGGTTTGGTTTCAAGGACCCCCTGGAGCCCTTAGACTGATCCAGGAGTCTTTGTTCGTTAACTACGCTTCGCTACCTATTGAACTTCGTTTCAGACGAGCGATGTCCCTAGAGGCCTGGAATTTCGGGAGCCCCGGCCCAGAAATGCTTCGTGTCGCAATGGGAGGGGATAGCATTGACTCTACTGCCTATCACCTAACCGACGAGGATGGAACAACCTTGCTGTGTAAAGTCGTGGCGCTCATGGCGGTGGATATTGCACATTCAAGGGAAGACAACATATCTGGTTGGCGTGAGATACTCCGGGAGGCACTCCAGGCCGGGGCAGATCTGTGCCAGATATCAACGCAGCACGGCTATTCCCACACGCCCTTGATGATGTCTTTCGATTTTTACGCAGTTCACCTCGGCGGAATAAGGCGAGCAAGGTATAATTTCCACCAGATACTCCAGCGTTGGGCGCTCGAGCTGCAGGCGGCAGGTGTTGATCTAGCTGCTTACGGAGCTAAGGAAAGTGCACTTTGGAAGTCTGGTGCCGTTGACTCTTCTTTCAAAGTCTTTATGTGGTCTTTACGTAAGGATCCGTTCTACCACAATCAATCGGAAGAATATGGAGAGTGGTTGGAGGTTCACCTGTTCTCCTTGAGCTACGGTCCTAATCCGGAGGATTGGCATGTATGGTTCGATAACCCGGTGGACGAGGTGGTGGGTGAGTTCTGGGAGATGATGGAAAGGGAGGAGGAAATTATGCCAGGCACATGGGTGGAATGATCACTCGGGCAGGAATGGTGCTTAGGCCGCGCGGTCTTCCTCCTCAATCACCTAATGTAATACGATACTGTATGATGCATTAAGATGGAACTATTGGAGTAGACATGGAAAACTTCACGAGCCTTGTCAGCACAGATCCAAGGCGTTCCAGTCAACGGTATTAATTCGGAGATACGTCCATATGAACTCATATAATGTTGCCCTTCATTAGTACAAATACACGCAATTTGATCGAGTTGAATACCTCATTGCAGCCATTTGTCTGTCAAGTACCCCGTCACAAAAGCATAGACAGCCTTGTGTAGTATATCGATGACCTGCTCATTGACTGGCCACGTCCTACAGATTCGTCAGTAATTGTACGAGAATGAACGCCAATGCGCATGGATACGAACCAAGGAGGAGCGCCGACTCCCGTCCAATTCTCCAGTGTTTGATCAATCGTCAACCGCACACCGATGAACATAAAGTCGGCAAACGGTCCCCGAATACCGTTGATGCTCATAAATGCTCGAATGACGGCCGCAACTGCTCCCTGCCCGTAATGCATGGCCATGTTCAGTCCCCAGCGTTCGTTGTCCGGCCGGGCAGGCAAGGCCAGTAGTCGCTCTAGCGTGTGGCCGGGGACATATGAGCTGGGCCGTCCAGTAAAGAATTGTTCGATTTTCTCTCCGACGGTCATACTTTCTTCGGTTAGATTCATTTCAGAATTCGGGGGAGGTGACATACGCTGCTACGCCGAGCAGCCMTGCGCCGCAGCCATAAAGGACCCATGTTCCCACGGGGATCGAGGGGCGGCCTGGTCGCTGAGGATCAGTGGTTCGACGCGACGACATGGTAAGTATATATTTTAACCGATATTTATTCTATTCGAAAAGAGATGTTCAAGTAGTGAGATTGTGGGATGAGTTGTTATAGAGGCAATCCAAGATTCCTCGATGAGGTGCCTGAGTTATGTCATAATGGCGACACAACTTGGCAGCATCGTGAGATCCGCTATTTAACCATCATTTTCTGATAAGCTCTGACAGCTTTATAAGCTTAGATATTCTAGAGTATAATGTATGCAGTTTCATAAAAAAGCTTAATCAAACTATTTTTAGAAATATTGGTGCATCACGTTATATCATTATAGGTTGGACTTGAATCGGCGCATCATGGCCTTGAGGCATTAGCTAATGTTCCCCATTCACCTTAATGTCTTCATGTTAAGTATAGTGAAGGCTATTAGCTCTATAATAACAACTAAAATCATGTCGCTATCGGAACTTCCCGTAACCAGGTAGATCCCATTCACTAGATAGGGCTGTCTATCTAATCTATACATTCACTTTTGCCATATGAAAGATGTATATAATCTCCTCATTACCCCTGCTATTTCTTGTGCTCTCTCATCAGCAACAGTCTTACTGCTAGACAAAAAGTGTGTCATCAAAGTAACTTAGTACATGTACCTTGCATTACGAAGCCCCTCCTATTACCTATTGACAGGATGGATCAGATCCTCTTGGCTAGCATGCTCCTAATACTGCTGGTTATTGCAGCAATTGCTCGCCTTAGATCGCAGATTAGCAGGAGGTGGTAAGCCGATACATCTATCCTGTCAAAGACCATCGTATAATACCAAGGCTGACTTCTACTGGAGGACTCAAATATCCCGTCTGCGTGCTCAGCTCCTCCTGATTCTGGGGCTTTCTGGCCAGAAGGCTAAGCCCCTGCAACGGCTGTTGCAAATGCACTTGCTCGACGCACGACATATGCCCTTATTTTCGTTAAATCAACTATTTCCTTGAACATGTCAAATCCTGGGTGTTGTAGGGAGCGCGATCAGCATTTTACAATAGGTGGAGCAGGCGATCCAAACGATAAACCGTGTGCGAGCTCTGCGGGCTTCTGCAGTACCTCGGCGACAGAAGAACTATATCTTGCTCCGTTGCTTTGTTGAAGCCGCACGGATGGCTTTAGTCGAAACCTGGTCTTGTGGTTGGTACATTTCACGGATGAGGTATGTTCATAACCAAATGGGCTATTCTCACGTTGTACACATTCATGCTTGCAATCATACTGATCTATCATCGTACAGCTGTAGACTGGTTTGGATGGCAGACGGAGGCCCAACAGGATGGACCAGAGAGTAATGGCTTCGGGAGCTGACAACGAAGTCAAATGGCTACACAAGGAACCGTCGTCAGTTTGCGTATGATGCAAGTATAAAAGTGCAGTGGTTGGACAATTTGAGCGCCGCCCCTGATCAATGACCTCTTCTGACTGTCGTAGTAGAGGGTCAACAGTCCTTTCCCATTTTGAGCAAAAGAAAGGATATTTGGACTGACATTCTTCCATGTTTTATGCGCTTCCCCCTTTCTCTCAACCTCAGCAACTTTCTGTTCCCAACAGAAGTGACTATTTGGACTTCACGAACCCAGTCGCTGCCTTCAACAATTACAATATGCTATTTCCGCCGCAGTCTTACATAGCCCATCATCACATGTTGGAAAACTGTCATTTCATCACGTTACTATACCCGATTTTCGTACGCCTCCAGATCAGTTATCAGAAATGGCCACCACCATCCAGATGCCTCCCCGGAAGGGGGGTATTGCGGTCGACGGAAACAACTTCATACTCTGTTTTTTCGTCTGTTTTGACCTGTATATCCTCTTCCACTCACCAATCCTGGGCGTGTTTTAATCGCTCTTTTTTGCCTCATGATCATCGCCGTGGCGCAATCGCCGGCCTGGTGGAGTTCGTTCACCATAGCTCTAGGTTAGTTCTGATACTGACTACCTTGACTGTACGACAAGAGGAATAAGGACCATCACCAAATCATTCTGCGTTCGGTAGAGAATTCAGCAAGTAAGGCCCAACAGACACAGCGACTCCGGCAGTTCGGCAACATTAAAGATATCCAACGACTGTTTCACAATCATCTTGCGTCTCCCTTCAACGGCGACGAGCATGGATGGCCGTTGCTCTATGTATGTATAGTATTAGGTACTGCTCCTCACATCTACATTTGACCTAATCAGGTCGACAGATGGACGTTGGCTGTGGCCAACTAGACGTTTGCAAGTTCCTATTGCAGAACGGTGCCGATCCTACAGCTAGAAGTGGCTTTGGAGCGTACACAGCGGCAGTTCGGGCTGTCCCATACACAAAGGCTGCACATGTGTGCCTGAGGGCAAACCCTCCTCGTCTGATGATGGCAACGACAACGACAACACCACCACCACCACTACAATTACGACTTCAACAATGAAACCGACAACGGCAGTACGACGAGGAGGGTATGAAATCACGAAGACATGATGAAAGTTAAGGCTATATATTTTCGCAGATGAAAGGCCAAGCTTCCGATTTGTATATCTATTTCGTTCTTGCTTCGGCAACTTTTCGCCAGATTCACGTCATCTATCAATGCCTCCCAAGGTGCCACAATGAGTACAAGTTGTTGTATCCAGGGCGACGATGAGTGACTAAACGGTTTGGCATCAACGACTGCAACTAATTTATCTGCTTTTCTGTGGCTGTACAGTTTTCGGCATTCAGACTTCATGTCCAACTGCTTATCCGGGATTCTGTGCAACTGCTTGGAAGAGATCGGTCTTTGAGGAATGAGGGTTGATACAAATGAGCATCGCCATCTACGCATGAGCACTGAGCTCAACCACGAAAATGAAGTCCAGAAGAGTTAAGCTAAGGGAAGCTAGTTCCAGATATCCTAGGTAAGATGCGGCCTGTACCTCCTAGTTGCCAGAGTTCAGTGTCCTAACAGAAGACGTTTGTGAGATGGGCATGATACTTCCGGGATGACCAGTGATATCCTCGATGCAGGAGCTGCGGCGCCATATTCTACGAGTAATTCAACCTGACATGTCTCATGCACAGTGCATGACGATGACTGTGAATAAAAGTCGCATAGTCTCTCTGTTGAGGAAACGCAGATCGATCTTACTCCACTCCTCGGTTCTGTCTAGGAATGAATGAGAGGACAACTGGTCGTTCACCTGGTGGTACATTGGAGTCATTGTTCGAAATTCGGAGTCTTTATTGAAACGAAAGACTGGCTCCACCCATCCGAGGAACCGTTGGAGCAAGATGCGATTGAACGCCTTTACGGTCAGCGAGCTTTTCGTTATTCCTGCGAGCAGGGCTTTGCTAGTACAAGTAACTTTCACGTAAGAACCCAAGGAACGACATGGCTGACCGTCCATAGCATAGCATCATTCCTTAGACTTACAGGACTGGTCTGTACACCCTCAAACATGCAGATCACGCGGATAAAAGCATAACTGGCTGGATTTTAATTTTTCAATGGTGATAGTACGGCAGGAGTTGGAGTTGGTGAGATGTTGTGGTGTCCAGCACTCCAGACTCTAATTTTGTTATTTGCAATGAAGTTCAGGTGTACTTGGAAGACTTTCTTCACAGCTTGGGAGGCATATAAGTATCTTCTCGCAGATCTCGTATGATATTAAACTGTATATGGTAGGTTTTCTTTTCATGTCGTCGCTTCATACCCATCCAGTAGGCGTAGTCTAGATGTTCATGCAGGTCTAAACGTACATCATCACCAGTCATGTAAATCCCGTCCGGGGCAAGTCATTCATATAAACATTCCCTGAATGTGCACAAAAGCCAGAACCTAATGCTCAAAATCTGTCGAGTATGCAAAACGCGTCAAAAAGCCAGTTGAACTTCGTACCCGGTGCTATGTCCCTTGCCGTCGTCCTGTCCATCGCTGCTCAACGGAGCAGGAATCTCGGTAAATTCGGCAATCATATCCTGTCCTTCGGGGATTGCTCCCACGACGTCATCATCGACGGCGACGCGTAGATTGTTCGGATTGATATGGACGACACTGAGAATACGGTCTGGCTGGACGTTGTATTTTTTGGACAGTTGATCACGAAAGTCGGATTCGGTTCGCTCAGTGAGGTATACGGCACGGTAGTAGGGTTCCTGCTGCTGTTTGTCCTGAAATCGAACATAGAAACATGCCACTGTCTGAGGTCAGATTATATATCAAATCAAATAGTGCTCGCAAACTTACCATGCCGAGGGCTGGATGACCGATCACCAGCATCCCACTCAGGAGAAGATCGGCCATTTATATCGCTGAGGCCCGGATCAGGAGATTCCATCTTCGGCTCAACGGTACTCGCTTGTCGGCCGAAATGACGGCGTGGAAGTTCGACCAGGTCGCCATGAAAGTTGACCCCTGCGTCATTTTCGGACGCACTGTCGCGTCCAAGAGACACAGGCGTGGACGAGTCCCGAGGTAGAGAAACTGGTGATTGATCCGGATCGTCCAGCACATCGCCTTGCAGTGAGAGCAGGCTAACTGGCTGGGAGGACGAGAAGAGGTTGCGCAGCTCGAACAAGGCCCGGTGCAGATCATCTACGCCCGTGAGACTGTTAGAACGGCTGGGAGATAGGCTCATCGATACGGTATGATTCTTGGTCAGCCCGTGTCCCACGCCCTTTCGCCGTTTCCGCTTTCCCAGACCATTAATGCCGTCGACATCTCCCTGCGCGATTTGCCGTTCGACCTTGTGAATCGCTTTCTGCACATGCGCCACATCGTTGGACAGCTTCCTTTCCGCTCCGTGGTCGCGAAACACCTTGACCTTGCAGTAGCAAATCTCGGCTGCGGTGCTAGCTCCCGGCCCAGGAGTGTCATCCTCAAGGCCAATCATCTCCGTCTTGACGCACAATCTCGTAGGAACGCCTTTGACACCCTTGGAAAGACTGAAATCCGTCGACAGAAAGTTCAATCGAACGTTGACCACGCACTCGGAAGAACCGGCTTCCGGAGTGCTCGTCCAGGTTACAGAGAACCCGTCAAACGAGGCGCTGTCCACCTTTTTGAGACGCGCTGCGTTCTTCTTCGATCCCATACGCAGGTCCACAAACTCCAACGCTCGCATCTTCCCCCCTCGTTGCTGCGCCTCGACCGCCCCTCGCGCTTCCTTCCAGAGTCGCCAGCACCGCGCTGGGTTCGATCGGTGTGCCGGTTCCTCAAAGGTGATTCTCACACTCGTGCGATATTTGACGGGTTGTGTGGCGTGCGCTGGGGGTGTAGAGTCGACAATGGATACCGAGTATGCCTGGGACTTGTTGAGATAGGTGACTGGCGGTTCATGCGCATGATCCGCGATAGCGGTGGGAGCGTGGAGAGTGACACGGTAGCGGAATCTACATTGTTACATCAGCGCGAGTCAGCAAGCAGTAGGCCGATTGCAGCCGTCGCATTGGTAGTGGACTTACGGAGTCTCTGGCTTCGAGGGGAAGTCGGCGCGGTCGACCGCGTCCGAGGCCACCGGCAGGAGAGGCTGTGCGACATGTCCCAACARCTCTGTAAATGAATCTCGATGGCTTGCCGTATCCAATGGATCGTAGTCTGAGTTTGCCCCGAACGAGACGTTGCTCGGTAGTATGTGGTTTGATGCAAACGGGTCCATGTTCTGAAACAGATGATGCTGGTATTGCGACTGCATGCCCGCCAAGCCTCGGGTTGCCGTCGCCGCGTGTCCATGTAGTTGCTGTTGCGCAGGTGGTGGCGGTGGTTGTTGTTGGTCCTGAAGCTCTGACTGTCCGCTGACCATCTGATCCCATATCCAAGGCGTGCTGGCCAGATTCCATTCTACAGTTGGGGTGTGAAGGTCCCCTGCAGGACTATGGACTACGGCGCACATCTGATTAGCAGTGGGAGTAAGAAGGCCGCCTTGCAGAGCCGAAGGAGCGACATAGTCAACTACGTTCGGATTCGCCGCGTGATGGTTGAACTGGGGGTGATATTGTTGTGATGGAAGTATGGGATGATTTGCGAGCTTCGCATCGGCGTGTTCGAGTGGTGCCTGTTGCGTGAGAAAGGGGTCTGCGATGACATGTGAAAACTTCTTTCGAAAATCCCCGATCAGCTCTGCGCCAGGCTTCTGCGCCGTCCTGCTGGTGGTTAGATTTGAGGATGATATGTAGACCCGCGGAGAAAAACAAACCTTTTGTCAAACATTTTCACACTTCCGGAGCAACCACCAATAGTTCGTCGTACACGTGTTCCGACGACGCAAGGCCTCACAAACAACACGACAGACACACGATGATTACCAAGGAGCAGTGGCAATTTTTATTAACAGTTAGAATTTAACCCACCCGGCAGTTGTCAAGTCTGGAGATGAAATGAGCGACTTCCTCCGATCGAACGACGAGCGAAAGGCGAAGCATCCCCTCGAGTGATGAAACGGCGGGAGAAATGAGAGAACACAGCTGGAATATAGATAGATGGCTGGAACATGGAAGTCTGGACGGCACTGGCCTTTTATCTGGTCCCTGGGCCTCGTCACGTCAGGCAGGCTCACAGACAAAAGGGCAAACACCAGGACCACTGGACATGCTGGGTCTTGAAAAGAAGGTACGGAGTAGCACTACTACTATAAGAGGCGGACAGGACAGTACCTGGGATCAGCGGTGGGAGGGGGAAAAGGACGAGGGGACACAAACTCGGTCGGTAATATTCAACATTTATTATTAGTACAGATGTATTTTAACTGAAATTATGAATTTATGATTTATCCATTCCCGCTTTGCAACAATACCAATCTGCAAGAGAGAATATCGATACTACTGTCGAGCCATCTAAGAAGTCGTGCCGAGACCGTCGTGTGAGTGGAAGAATCGTAAATAACCAGTGGGGCCTTTTCTCTAGCCTCGTGGACAGCAGCATCAAAGGAGGTCGCTTGATTGGAACGGAAGTTCCAGCCGAGAGAGGAAGTGCAAGAACTGAGCCCAGGAGGGTTAGGAAAAAGGAAAAGGAAAAATAATTAGTCTGTTCCTTGATCCCACTTAAGTTATGCAAGGGGTCTTTGCCCTTTTGGAGAAGATAATGCCTTCGACTGTCGCCGCTTCGGGGGCAGACAGATGTATAGAAGAAGTCCAAATTTGCTTGCATTTGCCACGGAGACCCTCTTATGTATGGCGAATTTCCTTTGTTGGGAGTACTATCCGATGTTGACACTTCCTCCCCGTTCTATATAATTTTTGATCTGTCGCCTCCCAACAATGTGGCTTTGATCTGTCCTTGGACTCAACATGGGAGTTTTGTCCTTGGCACAAATATATATTCCGCGCATGGCCAAGATCAACTCAACGCCCCTGGCTGTCAGCAGGATTCTGTAGAGAAATCATGTTATACCGGCCGGGGACAGCTGGTTGACCTGCTTCAGGGTAACTACCCTTGCCTCTGCAGCAACGAGAAATGTATCCACGTGAGTTGTCCTATTCAGTCTTGTATGACTGAACAACAAACAATCGACAAACCCCTAGAGTAGCCACATCCAACCGACCGTAGTATTGTGTGGGATTCGAGTTCGCGGGATCCTACCACTCACTTGTCATGTAAAGGTACAAGAGACTTTAACAGTACGGGGTTCTGGCCGTGGGAATGGCGCGTAGATCCCTGTCTCATGACGTCAAGCTATGTCGTGGAGGACGGGAAGGTTTCATTATGTGGCACGAGCAGCCGTGGTTCACTAGCTATGCGCAGCTTGGACCCGAAAGAAAGCCGAAAGAATAGAGATCCCATCTATTCAGGATCCTGTCTATCTGCGCCACCTCCGCGTTATCGTCTGCACTTTCATCTTGAGAATTACTCCTACCCCAGGTACTTGCACCTAGCATCTGAGCATGATGGCTCAGGACTACAGGTCGGATCACAATCAGGATCTACTAGCAGATACTCAGCTATTTCCACACCCTTTAAGCTTCTCTCGTCGGAACGGATGGATCATGTTCTCTTTCCCATGCAGTTACGCACTGCTGTGACGTCAACCAGTCCTACCGGGTAATGGAACTCTGAAATTCAGTGAAATGGGATGAATCAGATATCGCTGGAGCCCGAGTGGCCGAAGGAAGATCCAGCGAATCAGAGGCTGCGGATTATTCTTCAGTTTCCTTGCCGCGGAGTTCTTTGTCTCTTCCTCGACGACGAACTCATGTGGCTCGAGCAGAACTGCAGACCTTCCCTTGAGACAGGCATAGGATTGTTCTTGTTTATAAATTGTGGCTTATTGACGTTACCCTTGCTCATGAGGCTCCTCGACAGAAAATCATGAGCTAGGTGCCTTAAGGTTTTTCATCTTAAGACTGCCGCAATAAATCCACGAAAACGGGCTGTCAATTACCTTAGTCGATAACTCTCATTAAGGGACCCACACACACGCCCAAGGAATGGCTTCTGGTTGGTGAGCCAAGAAGCTGGCCCCTCTGATCAGACACTAGCGCCATTCCGGTTGTTACATCCGGCCAATCATGGCTATCGTTGCGTCAGCCCTCCAGCAATGTAACGACATTCTGTGGAACAGCAGCTGTCAATGTGCTTCTTGGCTCATGATTATTACCCATTCTCTCTGGACGAGAGGTAATTTTAAATATTATTCCTTGGGTAAGGTGGTTTGTCTAGTTGCTGGTTGTTACTGACGGGGGTTAAAGCTCTCTTCCTTGGTTCTGAGCTTGACTGCTCTTTAAACTTCATTCAACTCCGTTCTCAGGGTTTAGTTACATCAATCATATGTTCCGGGGCGGGAGGGGGAGGCGGTATGGTCCAGAACAACAGAGTAGTAGGAAGCATTCTCCAGCACCTCAAATAGTCCTCCGGCTTTTCTAGCAGGTTTCCTTGGGATGTCTCAATCTTTAAAAGAGAGAGACACCAACCAGTTCGATAATTGAGACTTGGTGGTTTTCAAACATTTGTACAGCTACAATCACAGCGTCAGCTTCAGTACCATTACAGACTTATCTATATCAACCTAAGGTATTCGATTAGGCTTCTGCCTCACACCCTAGCTGTACTCCCATCACACCGTCTAAAACCTTCTTCATCTCTGTCAGACCAGCTGTCCATAGCTCGATCGCTCGATCGCTCAGCTGCACAGCTCGAGTATAACTATCAGCTGCATCATGACGACCGCCACCCTTGTTACCGAGCAGACGGTCGTCGGTGGAGCCAATGGCAATCTTCTGGACTGGGCCAGTCTCAGTCCAACCGCTCTGGCCTTGCCGTCAGCGGATTCTGCCACTTATGAACCTGTCCTTTTGAGCGATGAGGATCTCCATGTCCTCGATCCCGCTTTTCTTTCCAAGCGCACAGACACCAATGTCGATAATAATAAATCTGCATATAACCAGCGTCCAGAGCTAAAGCCAGCTTCCACCAATGAGGTTGCTCCAAACATCCACTCTGCTCGACCCTCCCGCTCATCCATCACCAGCCTTTCTTCTATAACTTCTACTTCTACTTCCGCCACTACAGAGTCAGACATCACTTCGTCCAAGAAGTCTTCAAAGCCCAGCAAACGCAACTCAAAATCAAAAGTATATGACAAGAACGACCCCCGGCGCGAGAGATATCTCGAGCGCAACCGGCGCGCAGCCAGCAAATGCCGCCGCCAGAAGAAAGAGCGCAACCAGCAACTGGAGAACCTGTATCGCAAACAGTCTGCAGAGCAGGAGCGTCTTCTCTCGGAGCGCGACCGGATGCGCTCGGAGCTCCTCTCTCTGAAAGATGAACTGTTGAAACACGCGCAGTGCGAAGACCCGCCGCTCAAGTTCTACATTGCTCAGATGGTCGAGGAGGCCGGTGCGGCTGTTGCCCCGGCCAGATCAATGAGTACCTATTCTCCTGTGTACTCCGAGCAGCAGGCGCAGCCCGCACAGCCCCTGATGTTTAACGATGATGACGTCTTGCAGCAACAGTCCCCGACGATGAAGATGTCCATGGTTTCAGACACACCATGGGCCGCGTCGGGTGGTGACTTTGTCGATTTCGTTCAATTGTGATCAGTTACAGTACCCTGGTAGTAAGTTGTGTTTCATGGAGTTTGGTCCTGGCGTGCATCGGATATGTATTAGGTTTGGAGTTAAAAACTGTCAAGCCATATGGTGGCTGCTATACTGTCTATAAACAGAAATATATGGCACTGCATAGCGACGCTGCTATCAGTCACTATGCCATTCCGCAGAGCAAGCACATGATCAGCTATCATCAGCCATCATCAGCTGTAAGCAGCTCTGAGTCAATTGACCAATCATGAGCTCCATCAGAACAGATCATGTGACAGAAAACGTCATCGAAGCGATTGAATGCCTGAGGCCTGAAAATCCCATTTTCGGCCGAGGTGTGGGCCTGTGGCGAGGTCCTGGGAATATCTTCCTGCAGCCGTGGATTGGATATGCCTCCGTTCAATGGCTCCAAACCGGCCGAAACTGCAAGGATTGTGGCTGATCGGATCGGCCGAGGCCGCAAACCCACCTCGGAAATGTTTACAGGAAATGGATATATATAACAATGTCATTCAGATATGGAAGACACTCGACCACTGCCAGCCAACCCAGGTGGTCGAAGAGTAACTGACCCTTTGCCTCCTTTTCCTTCAAGGCAAACCGGGGCTATAGGGCTCGTTCTCTTGCCATTCGTTTACATGTCTGTCTGCTTGCTCTCGGTCCCCATGACAAGTTCCCTAGGAGCCACCTCGACATCGCACGGCCGACCACGAAAACAAGATGCGAGGATACTGCACCTAGACGACCGGTCGCAATGGCTCGCATGGAAAACCGCCGAGATACTCTTCAGCCTCCTTCTCAACAAGCAACTGCGCCGGCGATGGCTGCTAGAGCATAAGCATGCGCAATCCACCCCGGTCTCACAGAGTCTGCGTTCGATCGCGCTTCTCGAACCGATCCCCACGGCGGCGGGTTGGTCCAAATCGAAAGGGACGAGTGCTGCCGAAATGGAGGCCCTCAAGTACCGCGTGCGGCTACTGCGAGCCCGTGCGGAAAAAGGCAAGGAGCTAGTTGCGGAGATGGAGCGGAGGATCCAGCGGGGCGATTTGCCGGATCCAACGAGCTTCTGCCATTCGTGCATCGCAGTCGATGATCGCGCGGTGTTTCTCACCAAGTGTGGGCATCGGGTCTGCCTCACCTGCGTGCGGTACAGTACCGATGAACAGGGAGAATACGAGTGTTGCATTTGCTTTGTGCCGACCAGTTTTGTATCTCGGGGACGGACGCTTGGGCCACGGCGACGGTGATATTTCCGTGTGCCGGAGCCTGCAGACTACTTGACTATTGTTTCGCTCTTTATCAGAGTGGTCGTCATCCAAAAGACCATTAAACTACTCAAATACAAAAACAGACTTAATTGGTAAATCTACAATGCTGGAAGCTCCATGGCTGGCTGACCTTCGGCAACGATTCATGCCAGAGTCAATACTCTGTAAATAATTAGTCAGGATCTATCTAATTTTGGGATGATGGTTATCCGACTCGGATGTCCCGCTTGGGATACCCTGAAATTGTGACGTCATTGAGTACATAATAGTAGTCGAATTGACCAATATTCGGCAAATAGCCTGCATAGACGTATTAGAAGTTCTAGAAGGGGTTGAATATCTTTCTTCTTTGCAATGAGCAGGTACTTTGTCAAGGTACGCATATCTCGTACCCGATCGAGGATAGAAATGTAGATCGAATGACACTATCAGCATGTCATATTGATAACTGGGCCCCTGCAGGGGGAGCTATGTTAGAGTTATCGGGGATCTACAGCACTTGCCGGGGATCATAGTGACGTCGAAATCATCACATCTCACCCCTCACATCAAGTGGCAAGATGCAGCCCGACAATGCACTTCCCCAAAAACCTGATGATTCATGAACTCAGCCATTGTCTGCTCTATCTGATTGTCACATGCAATGACGTCTAGCTCTCTACCTGGTTGATGGTCGATTGCATCCGGAGAACATATAAGAAGGGAGTACTTTTTCAGTAGTCGTCTTCTCATTGCAGAACAGATCATCAAATCAAGAAGTATTTCACAGAAGTCAATCAACACAAAACCAACACTACTATCAACATGTCTGACACCGGCCGCAAGGATTTCTCCACCAGTATGTTTGTTCAGTCTCGCAGCAACAGAGCAGTTCTGACTCCGCTACAGAGGCTAAGGAGGAGATCACTCCTGATTCCCAAAAGTCCACCTGGGACAAGGTGAAGGAGACTGTCTCCGACGCTACCGACCGTGTCACCGGCAGCGCGCAGGGCGACAGCCAGAAGTCGTACACGCAGCAGGCCTACGATTCCATGCGTGGCGAGAAGGACGACCAGGCCCATGGTAGCAGCACCCAGACAATGTATGTTCCCCGCATCTGGAGGAAATCTAAAACTGATCAGGTGCTAACTCGTTGGGAAACAGGGGCCAGAAGGCAAAGGATGCTACAGGATTGGGTGATGAATAAGTTATGAAAATGAGAAATGACCAACTGTATATTAGGTAACAGGATTATGACTTTTATTTTAATTTGATGAATATCAATTGTACACATGTGATCTATACTATTTATAGATAGTAGGACAGTAATCTTAATAATGCTAGGAGCATTGTATCTCCCGACAGTTACTCTTCGACTGCTGTGCTATTTTAACAGAATGTAAACATAGGCACTAACATAGGCAGTAATATGCTGCATACAGACGACATATAAAATGTTAAAGACGGCTATTGTTTAATTTATGTCATCAATTACTTCAATTTCCAATGCTTCGTCGTCGAGCATTCAACCAAGGTACATGTACAGCTAATTAGTCCTTCATAGAACGATCTGATATAAGGTACCACCAAGCGATCAATGTCTGCGGTGTAACCAATGAAAGCGAAATGATGTTATTTATGAGCCTCATGGATGTATTTGTTTATCAATATGTTAAGGAAATATACAATATGAGATTCGTTGCTTCATCTGATAACTACGTCATGCTGATGAATTCCTCAACGGTTTCAACTTCTCCACACTGTCTAGACTCGCCACTGAGCCAGGTTTTTGGCTTCAAATGCATCGAATTACACCAACATGATGATAGTATGCATGGCTTCTTAGGGGTTTTGCGCCTATATAGAGGCAACGGAAGTGCCCAACCGGATCAACAAAGATCGACCGACAACACTCACCACATTTCCACAAATCAAGACGTATTGTATAGAAAACACTCAACATGTCAGACGCTCAGCAACAGAACCAGCGTTTCAAGCTCGAAAACCTCTTCAGCGTCAAGGGCCGAGGTATGTTGTTCCTACATCGACATGATATGGATACTGACCAGCACAGTTGCCCTCGTCACTGGCGGTGGTTCCGGAATCGGCCTCATGATCACACAGGCACTGGCTGTTAACGGTGCCAAAGTATACATCACCGGTCGGACGGGAGAAAAGCTGGACCGTGTTGCAGAATTGTACTCGCACAACATTCCCGGACAGATCATTCCCATCACCGCCGACGTCACTAGCAAGCAATCCATCCAGAAGCTTGTCGACGAAATCTCGTCCAAGGAAAAAGCACTGCACATCCTCGTCAACAATGCCGGCATCTCTGGCCAGACACAGGACACCGACAGCCAGAGCGCCGAGGAACTGCACCAAAAGCTCTTCAAAGATGAGTCAAACTCCTTCGAAGAGTGGGATCAGATCTTCCGCACCAATGTAACCCAGCTTTACTTCACCACCGCTGCTTTCCTGCCCTTGTTGAACAAGGGAACCGACATCGAGCATGGCTGGTCCAGCACAGTCGTCAACATCAGCTCCATTTCAGGCATCATCAAAACATCACAGCACCACTTCCACTACAACGCTAGCAAAGGGGCCGCGATCCATGTTACAAGAATGCTGGCGCATGAGATCGCCTCCTCCAACCTGAAGATTCGGGTCAACAACATCGCGCCAGGCGTGTTCCCCTCGGAAATGACCGCCAAAGAAAGCGACGAGAAGCAGAAGAGTTCCCTTCCCAAGGAGCAGTACGAGGGCAAGGTTCCTGCTGGAAGACCGGGCAAGGATGAAGATATGGGCAGCGCTATTCTGTTTGCCGTCTGCAACCAGTACCTGAACGGGCAGACTCTCGTGGTCGATGGTGGCTACGTTCTTGCTGCTGGAACTGTTTAACTACATGTCATTGTATGATAATGAGATATGACTCGAATGCATGGCACTGTCTTTTAGCTTTTAAAGTGCTTGCCTATCTATACAGTACTCGATCCATTACAGTGACGGTAGGTGACATGGCATTCTTATCCCGCAGTCTGTGTCTGATCGGGAAACCGAATCCACACGAATCATGACATTACCACGTTGCCCAACAGCAGAAACGGGATTCTGTTATTTCACCAGGAAGTAGAATTCTTTTGGCCATTGTAGTCTAACAGAAGACAAGCGGATCTTGAAATGAGAGGACAAAATGACGAGGTAAATAGTTACACAGTAAAAACAATTTCATGCTAAGTAAACTCAGATCAATATATGCCAGATAAAATGCATTCAATTCAAACGTTGTATCAATCATAGGTCCTCCAGCTCCTCCAATGTCCATCGCACCAGCCTATTCTTGAATCGTATATCGAGGGTATTATTCGAGTAACTTCGCGACGAATCCTCTTCGGTCATGGTTAGCAAAAGTCCGACGAAGAAGTTGAGGTACAGACATACTCTGTGGAGGTAGCTCAACGGCTGCTTCTTGATTGTCTATTGTCATGATGGTAATGGGGCTGATAATGTTCTCTGATCCCTTGTGAACCGGGTTGTTCTCTCATTGATGGTCGAGGTCTTGCGTAGTCAGAGTCACCCGCTTTCTGCTGTGCTCTTTTGTTTTTGGCGAGGAAGAGAGGAATAAGGAGACACATTTTGATTTGATATGATCACGTTTGATATTGGAGAAGAGGCGAAAGGACTGTGGATTGTAGATGTCTGATGCATGGTCAGGCAACGGAATTGACCTCCTTATATAGCTTCCTGCTGAGGCTATCTGCCATAAAAATAGCTGATCGCCGTTTCACAGCATGGCCATTTCACTGCGAGATCAAATGTCAGCCTCGTATTGAACCTACAACCAAAAAGCAAGCATCTCGTACCGACTAAGCTTTCGAAGCAATCTTGGCTTGGGCTGTGCCAGGCGATCAGCGCTAAAGCTGAGGGGCTGGGGCCGCTTGCGGCCGCTTGGGGCCGAACGATGTTTCTGGGGCGGAATATGATGTTTCAGCCTTTCAGGTCCTTTTCTTGGCTTGAGATTGTCTACATGCTTGTCGATCCGAACTCTCTGGCGGTACACGTGGCGCGGTCTTTGCTAAGCGGGAGGCTGTGCAAACAATAGCAGTCGTGAAGTTTATTCTAACTGTACATCGTTGCTATTCTTCAATGGTGTTGATTAGTGATAGAAAAGGAGAAGCTTTCAAAATGGGGGCGAGTAATCTGCCTTGCCATTATAAGCGAAGGGAAATCTGCGCAACAACACTGTTTGGTATAGGTCGAGCACACAGAGCTATACTTGTCTCTCTTTAAACAATAAATCTGATTCAGTCGGTTTAGCCCCTCATCCTATGTTCGGTCTTCAGTCGCACTGATCGCTGAGATGGATATACGCATCATATTGTCACATCGATTCCGACCTATAGTATGATTCAAGGACATTGACAGCATCGCAGAATTACTTCTACTGGCCGGTCGTAGCAATCGACAGTGCCGTGATGCGAGCGTTCATTACAGAGAAACGCCATAGTACCAGACAATTGCATTGCCTGACTAAGTAGATGCGCGAAGGAATTAAAGAAACGGAAATCGTTGGAGACAGCCATACCCAAACAATAGATCATCACTATGCATCGTATCAACTGAGCAAGAAAAACGCACGACCGGCACAAACAACTATAAAAGACATTGAAGAAGGGCAATACCGCCCGACACAAGGATCCCATCCAAGATCGACACCAGAATTGTGCTCCCTAAGAAAGATCAGCAATGCTCGCGGGCAGGAATCGCACCGACATACCTAGACTCGGCACCGATCCATCTGAATTGACCTGACTCAAACAAAACTGAGTATAGGAACCCAGGACATTTTCCAACTGAGACGCTGCATCAGGGCATAGCGCCGATGTACAGTCGGCGATGGACGGCGCATTCCCATTACTCGAGGTAAAACTGCCCGATTTGCAGATGCAGTTTATGTCGGATGGCTTGCTGCTAGTACTGGCAGCCTTGCCGCAATTGCCTTGAGCAGAATTTGTAAAGAAGTCGTTGAAGCAGGGTTGCATGCATGAGGGTAGACCCTTCACCCAGTTGTTGTAAGATGTGGATGAGCTAGCCAGAACGGTAGCACTGAATGTGAGGAGCAGGAGAAAGAATATAGATCGCATGCTGACAGAGAGTGTGATATAGTGAAGGGGAGTATTATTCCTATACTGATGAGAACGAAAGACCGGTAGATAGATTCGGCCACTGCTTTTTTGAGGCGTGCTGGCTGACGATTTTCATCATCACACTGACAAAACACAGAGTTTGTTCCCCTGAGCCGCATGATCCAAGAAGAGGGCGGACCCTGAGCCACGGCCCAGAACGGCTGTTCCTGATTGGCGGGTTTGTCAGACAAGACCCCACGGTTAAGAATTATTGGTCTGTGGTTATTGGATAATGGGTCCAGATGGCTTTTAGATCCAAGCGGGGAAGATGTTTATTAATGATGCAATCAGCTAGAGATCAGAATGTGGGAGGAATCATTGTTGATTTAAAGTGGAAATAATTCAGTTGGTTAAAATATTCTGGTGGTCTAATTCATTAATGACTGGCTGCCTGTGTTTGAAGATGTACAGAAATGCCAAATTTTCCGACATGCTACTCGAATATATATATATCCTTGCCTGCTTGGACAATGGTGAGGCTCGCAGAGGTTGGCGATATCTTCTTCTTGAAAAGTAGATATGAAAGAGAATCACTGTGTGCCGCAGAATCCCTAACTATTCAAACTGCTAGGGTTGATACTCGAAGAGTTAATTGGGGTGATGTGGTGCCTTAGATGAATATGAAGATGTCATTGAAACAACCGAGGATGTGGTCGACATGGAGTTGCGTGTTTCTCTAGAAAGATTTGCGTTATAGTTAGCCTTTGATCATGTTGATTCGCTTCATATGAAGGGATGGGTGGATTGTATTCCATGTGTTCCAGAGTATATACGCAAATGTTAACAAACAAGCAGCTCTCTAGTGAGTATGGAAGATGCAATATGAGAGGCCTATCCTCTGCTATTCGAGGTTGAAATTCGCCAATCATGCAATATCCTTAAGTGGTAATGCGGTTTCGTTAGTAACCGCCGTACGAGACACTGGAAAGTCAATTATTGGATTTGAAGGGAGAGACTATTGTTTGACAAGGCAATCAACCGGTTGTCAGGGAGTTTCTCCTCAGTTGGTTACTCAAGCTTATGCCAGAGAGGCATCGACAAGGTCTTGTAACTGGTTGCACCAGCTAGTCAACAGGAAACTTGCTTTAAATGACGAATTCAAGTCCTTGTGGATCTCAACTCCACAGCGACACATCATGCGCTATAAAAAGAAAGATCCGCCCGGATCAGATGTCGATCCGTCTCTCATGGCCCCTGAGACTGTGAATATGACAGACCTATCGGCGACATCTGTTAAAATTCAGTAAACAATCGCAACCACTCTCCCTCATCATCTTCCATCGCTCACATCGTGATGCATTACCGATGGGTATTCTCATCGCAAATACTGGCACTAACATGCCTTGCAGCTCAAGCAAGTCAAATACAATATAATGGACGTCAAGTTGAGCTTTGTGCTCAAGTCTCGGACTGGATCGCCCAGGCAAAGACGACCAAAGGAATCCCAGGAAACCTGGTCTATGGATGTCTGACTTCGATGCCGTTCGATGCGGAGGATGCCGTCAAGTTTGTCGACGAATATCGCAAGTACCTACAATTCCAATCGACGATCGAGAGCTTAAAGAGTGTGTGCCGTGACCATTGCAGACGAACGTCGCTGACTCTGGCAGATCCCCCGGACCAATATTCCATGCCATCGACGGATTTACTGGGCGGTCTCGAAAATATCAGACAAAAGGCTCAGGATCACGACTACTCTAGCCATTGGGATTTCGAACTAGATCTGCGACAACTCATCAATTCAGCACATGACGCCCATCTGACTCTGCAGCTCTGTTCCACTGTGCTCTTTCGATTCTCCAACTCGGTGCCTCTGGTCTCACTGTCTTCGGACGGCCTGGAGCTGCCGCAAGTATACACACTCGGTTAGTTTATCCTGACGGGGAAGCGAAACCAGCTGACTCGATAGATGACGCTCAACTCTTGAACCGAGGAGTCCAGTCCGTCTCGCCGGTAGTGTCTATAGACGGCCAGGATGCCGCTCAGTATCTTGAATCCTTTTCCTCTGAGGCCGCTCTACATGACCTGGACGCTCAGTAAGATCTACACATCATTCGATAGATGGAGATCTAACAACTACCCAGGTATAACATAAATTTCCCGTCTCTAGCCAGTCAAATCGCCCTGGGAACGCCCCGCAACAACGGTCTATGGTCAAGGAATTTAGGAGAAAAGTGGACTGGCGATCGGCTCACCCTCACCTTTGCCAACGGCTCTTCCATTGAGAGTCACAGAACAGCCGATCTATTACCACTGGAATTCCCATACCGCAATGGCACCGTACTGTTCAACGCCCGCTGTCGTAAAGCCCCAATTCCAACGACGGCTGTCGCAGCATCCGACAGCGGGGTCTATCCCAACACGACCTGGTCTAGCTACGGCGGATTAATCGCGGGATATTTCTCAGAAGAAGAGGCCCTCCAGGACGTTGGCGTGTTAGCCGTCACCACCTTCTCAGTTGATTCCGCGACCCTGCAGCAGGTCAGTGTGGACTTCATGCGAAATGCGACCGAAGCTGGCAAGAAAAGGATTCTCCTGGACCTGTCTGGCAACCCCGGGGGTAGCTTGACTGCCGGCGTGGACCTCTTTCATATCTTCTTTCCGGACGTGGTGCCATACACAGCGACTCGGCTACGGGCTCACTCCGGTGCAGAATTCCTGAGCAAAGCATTCTCCGGACTTGCAGAGTCGCATCGCAAGTTGCAGTTCGAGCTCTGGGAGGGAAATCCGTTCTCCTGGCAGGCCGCAGTGACGCCAAACCAGGAGGGCAATTTCAAATCGCTGGAGGCCTGGTACGGACCGTATGAGATTGACGGGGCGTCATTGTCGAACCTCTACGCCAATTTCAACTTCACCAGCATCTCCAACACGTACTCTCCGATCACTGGATACGGGCCGATTCCACAAGACCCTTCGCAGAGGTTATATTCCCCGGACAACATCATCATTGTAAGTCGTCTTGCCTAAGATGAGGCAAACGCTAATAGAGCAGATCACGGACGGCAACTGTGTCTCGACATGTGCCTACTTTGTCGATCGAATGCAGCGGCAAGGCGTTCGGACGGTCGCATTCGGCGGAAGACCTCGGTATGGACCTATGCAGGCCATCGGCGGCACTCGGGGCGGCCAGAATCTGGCCTACGGTGGGATCTACTCCTATGTCGAAACGGCGCATGGTTTGATCCGGGAGTCTCTACAGAATGGTTCGTCTTCTTTGATGTCAAGGGAAGAATGGGCGCAATTCAACAAATCGATCCCCGTCGACCCGAACGAATTCCCGTTCGTCTTCGGCGGAGGAGTCAACCTGCGCAACGAGTACGCGCCTGGCGACGACAAAACGCCTCAGCAGTTCACCTACAAGGCGGCGGACTGTCGGCTGTTCTACACAACAGAGGGCTGGTTCTCGCAGGAAGCGGTGTGGCGAGCTGCAGCAGTGGCTTTATCCGGAGGTAATAGCAGCTGTGTCCAGGGGTCCATGTCCAAGGCGAGGAGGTAGTAGAATGCTGTATATTAGTGTATATGTATGTCCAAGAATAGCAATCATGACCTCCGATATGCCGGAATCCCTAATCTCACATTTCCCGCCAGGAATATCCTATAAACGCCGCCACCTCCTCCGCGGCCGGTCTCCCTGACCGTAGCGAAATAATGTACAATGCCGCATCGATGCCGTTGGTGATAGTCCCGGACGTGACAATGCGCACCCGAGACTCGTTCATCCCCGCATCGACATAGTGTACAGTGCCCGTTGAATTCTCCGGCACCACCTCCGTCCCCTTCGCTCCTGGTGTCCGACGCTTATACTCCTCACATATATTTCGCAAAGATCCAAGCCCCAATCGGTGTGATGTCGCTGTGAGCCCATCTAGAACTCCTGTCGCCGCCAGCAGATACGACCCGCTGCAAACAGAAAAGAGAATCCTCTCGCCCATGGGCCCGGGACCTTTGGGGCCGAGTTTCGCAAATGCAGATATCACCTCTAACAATTCGTGGAGATGGCCTCCTGGCAAGAGGAATGGGAGGATATTGTTCGGTCGCGCCCCAGGAACAATAAGCATATCAAACTCCGTTAGTCTGTCCTTGGCTTCCGCGATGGACAAATCCCGTTTGAAGGTTACATTTTCCTGGGAGGTGGTGAACTCGTCATGGGCGGCTATGAGCGTGGTGAAGCCGCTCTGGAAGAACACGCCGATCGGGCCGTTGGTGTCGAGAGTATTCACGGAGGGGTAGACGAGGGCGAGGGCGGTTGGCATAGTATAGTCGTTATTGTACCGTGCGAGACATGCGGTCTGATGCGGCGAGTGGGTATGGAGGATCACACTTGCAGTTGCAGATCGAGAGAAACGGCGGTGAGTCTCACGTGTTGTCGCGCTGTGTTGTGTTCGTGTTGGCGACTCGGGTCGTGCGGAATCCCTCCGTCAACAAATGCGCATCGAACTATTTACAACAGATGGTGTCGCATGCCGTTTTTCAACGAGGCTCTAAATCGTTACTTTGCTGAATGCCCTTGTCCTGATTGACACCTCTTTATATGATACGGAAATATCAACCAGAGGAATGCAACCTCGGAGATGGGTGACGTCATGAACCTCGACAAGCAGGAGAAACCGTATATCAATTGACTTTCCTCTTATTCTCATATACCTAGTCGTTACTGACTGTGATTGCTATCTACAGAGTAAATGACCCCGTCAAAGGAAGATCGCGACTCGACCGTCCAACATACACCTGATACGTTCCCCGCTGCAAGGACCACTGTTGAACTCCGACATCCCATGTACTCAGATCACGGCGATTCAAGGCGAACTGCACCTGTGCAGTCTCCCCTGCCGAGACATTGACCTTCTCGAATCCACGCAATTGCCGTACGGGACCATTGGGGATGCCGACGTAGAGCTGTGCTACCTCGGCACCAGCGACACGTCCACTGTTCTTAACCTCCGCAGACACGGTGACAATTTCATCCCAGAGATGAGGGTTTCCACCTTGCTGGATAGTAGCTGACGGAGGATATTGAGGAGATTTCTTAGGACTGCTTATGCGCAGGCTGGAATACTCAAAGGCCGTGTAAGACAGTCCGAAGCCAAACTCGAACTGTGGGGTGATGTTGGCCTTGTCAAAGGCGCGGTAGTCAATGTACACCCCTTCGTCAAAGTCCGACTGGGGGAACAGTCCATATGGGGTCTCTGGTAGGGACGGATGCAACAGAGCACCGTAGTCCTCGGCTTTCTTAGCCACCGTGTACGGCAGTTTTCCGGACGGATTGGCCCGGCCGTAGAGCAACTCTACCAATGCCCTCCCACTGTCCTGACCGGGTAGATGAGCGAAGATAACGGCCGTCACATTCTTATGGTCAATCCACTCGCCGACTACTCGGATCCCGGCGTTGTGGATGGTGACAATAGTGTTGGCGCATTTCCCAGCGACGTTCTTCACCAGGGTATCGCTCGAGTTGTCAGCGAGTCCAGGACGGTCCCACCCTTCTGTGGCGTAGGCGTTAATGAAGACCAGACACGCATCAGAAGTTGGATCAACGTCAGGATCCTCTGATGAAAGATCGTACAACACGGACGTGCCGTCCTCGTAGGCCTCACGCTGGATGGCATCTATCGGAGCGTCGACATACGCAGCATTATTTGCCCCAGAACCGCCTGCAACCCACAGGGTGTGATTTTCCTGAATGGCAGGGCTGTATGTCATCCAGTTGAAGTTTTGCTTCAGCGTATCCGGTCCTTTGGCATCGTATCCGAACACGGAGAGCAGCTGAGGTGACTTGAGTGGCAGGGCGCTGTTGGTGTTTTTGACGAGGACATGGCCCTCAATAGCGCCTTGGAGTAATGTTTGCTTGAAGGACGCTTCTCTTCCTATTACCCGCTGATGAGGTGCAAATATATCGATCGGCATGCCGACGCCAGGAGATGGAAAGTCGGAATCCTGGTTCATCTGATACCACGAAGCGATGATCCTGTATTTGTCAGTTTGGGTTGGACAATTCAGCAGGCCGGACTACCTTGTGGCCATGTCATCCAGTCTCGACGCGTCCATCGTTCCGTTGGAAATAGCCGTCGTGAGATTGGCTCCCCATGTTTCGGTTTCAGGCATCACCATGTCCAGGCCAGCGTTCGCACCGGCGATGCCAGCATGTTGAGCGCCCCAGTCGGTCATCACATATCCTGATCGGTCAGCTTGCACTGCAAATGGAACGAAGACGACGTACCTTGGAATCCGAGTTCGGTCTTCAAGAGACCATTCAGAGTCTTGCTGTTTTGACAGCCGTAAGAGTTGTTGACACGATTGTATGAGCACATGATGGAAGCACTGCCAGCCAACACGGCATCTTGGAAGGGCCAGAGGTACAGCTCGTGCATGGTCTTGTCATCGATGTTGGAAGAGACTGCCGCGACGTTCACGCCGCCGTCGGTTTCTGGGTTTCGATTTGTCTCTTGTTCATTCAAGATGTAATGCTATGATGAAGAGTGAAGGGTCAGTTGCTGAACCAGGGATTGGTTGAGCTGACTGACCTTGGTGCAAGTCGCAACCCCAACCGACTGTGCTCCATCGACAGTCTCATAGACAAGGGCACCGCTCAGGTACGGATCATTCGAGAAGCCCTCCCAGTTGCGGCCGCCTTCAGCCACACGACCCAGGGGACCGACAACGGGCCCAAGTATGACATTGACACCTTTTTTACGGAACTCTGATGCCATATGGATTGCCCTCTGCTTAGCCAGCCCTTTATTCCAGCTGCGGACGGTCAGTATTGGTTATGTGGTCGACTAAGGATCAAACATACCTGGCACCAACATGTAGTCCGCTAGGCCAGCTGCTCACGTAGTCGGTTCCCCTCTACTGAGATTAGTCATTTCCAGCAACTGTTGCCTGTATGCACTTACAAGGCCATTGCCAGCATCAGATACACACAGTCCTGGAAAGTTGAGTCGCGGAATAGCCGCTATATTACCGGAACAGCCATTATTTGCGTCGGTCCCGGCAGTGAGATTGACTTTCTCCTCTGGGGTGAGCTGGGCGACAAAGTTCTTCGCTTTTGCATAAGCGGCAGCCCAGGAGCCCGTTCCGGTTCCCTCAGCTGGTTCAAAGTTAGTGCTAGGTCTATGCAAGGGAGAGCGACGTACGCGATGGATATACAGGTGGCGACTGTCCATAAAAGTAGGTGTCACTGGTGATATTCTGCTCCGTTGGAGCAGACAAGCACAGAGACGCAGTGGCCAAGAGACCTGCGAGACCCGAGAGTCCTATATTCGAGTGCATTTCGATCTTGCCTTGTTGCCTGATACTGGCGAAAGTCCCGAGGAGTATTGCCCCTCTTTATAGTCGTGCATTCTCTCATTCTACCCCTCACATCGACTCAGTCAAGCATGTAACATGACCGTGCCGCTCTACGTGCCGATTCTCAAGCCCTGCATGGCTCGGACTATTACCGGCGGAATTTAAGATCATTAGAACAAGCTTGATGGCGCTCGGCTGCCATCTTGACTTAGGGTGACTGTAAGCATCGTATCAGAATAAGTCTGTGGTCCTTGTCGAAATATTTTGAAGCTATTCCTTGTCAAATGCTCTGCAGCAACACGTTACCTACTCTCCCTTTGACATCTTATCCACCGTCATCAGAATCAAGCCAGAAAATGGACTGACTCGACCGAGTCCTGATGTTCTTGATGGCATCTCCACCTACCGATCCTTGTCGTCTTCCCCGCAAACCCCAGATCTCCACAATTCCCGGAAAAAGCGATAACCGGCATTCGAGCATCAATAGCTCCAATAGCAACATGCGATCGACAGACCATTTCCTTGCTTCTCTTAGTTCCTGCTGTAACCCCTCGCATGGACTGACGGAACAATGCCACCCGAGATTGACTCTCAGTGTACACTGCACTGGCAAATAAAACTCCAGAAACCCAGCATATTGATGCAACCTCCCGGTTAAACTTCGGCTGAGGGCATACCTTCATGACAAACATGCATGATTTGACAGTTGCTGTATTTTCTGACTGGTGTTATGTGTCAAAGCGAAGCATGCCTGCATTTGATGATCAAGAGCAGTATGCCACTAGACTACCCGTCCAGAGAAGAATGAACTCGTCTTGATATCGGCAATAGCGCGTTCTGGGGATACCGAGGGCTCGCTCGTAGTGCCGTAAGCGATCAGCCTAAACTCATCGGCACGGTAACCGACGAATTGGGCACCATCGTCCTCCTCAAAAGAATGCCACAGCTTACGGATACGTCGGCTACAAAGACAGACGCAAGCTGTCTTGGCAGATTGGGGTTTTCAATGGCCTCGGCGAACTCGCCATGAAGTTTCTGCCGACACTTGATTGAATATCCTTTTCCCCCGCATCCTTTCCAGTCTAGTTATTCTCGAGTCAGGATATAGCGGATGTTCTCCGTGAAACAAGGGTAGTCTCGCTGTTTCTATCTAACAGCGGACAGTCGGGAATGAGTGTAACCAAGGAAATCATCTATATACACGCAATCATAACAGGTTATCGTACAAACCGCAAGCATTAGTTGTGAGGCACACCACCAGTGCCGAACAGCTCCATCTTGATGCGATCACCGCCCACACCCCGGGCCTTCAATGAACCCTCCATCTGGGTCATGAAAGACTCAGGGCCGCAAATGTAGAACTCGGTGCGGGGGTCGTCCAAGTGCAAGTCAGCCGAGTGGTCGAGTTTCTGCAGGTCAATCCTGCCCCGGCGGTGGTAGTCGACCCCAGGTTGATCGTGATCGGACGGCGTGCTGATGAAGAATGTCACCTGCATGTTGTGGAACTTCTTCTCCAGCGCCTGAACGTGATCTTTGAAGGCGCGGGCCTGGCTGCTGCGAGATCCGTGGATGAAGTGGATCTTGCGCTGGTTGGAAGGGGAGTCAGTGATGGTGTTGAGGATGGACATTAGAGGAGTAACGCCGACACCGGCCGATAGGAGGACGATAGGGTGGGAGGCTTCGGTACTGGACAGGAAGAAGTCTCCACACGGGTGAGAAACTTCAACGAGGTCGCCTTCCTTGGTGATATCGTGCAGGACGTTGGATACGTATCCGGGGTGTCTCTTGGCGCCGGGACCCCAGGGGTCAAGGCCGGACTCCTTCTTGACGCTGATGCGGTAGTAATCCGAGCGAGGGGCATCACTGAGAGAATACTGCCGGGCTTGGGGATATTTCAATCTCGGCACATCGACACGCACGGAGATGTACTGCCCTGGCTTATAGCTAGGTAGTGCCTTGCCCTCGACTGGCCTGAGAATCAACGAGGTGATCTCGTCCGACTCGCGGACCTTCCTGGCCACGCGGAACTGGCGCCAAGTGGTCCAGCCTTGGCTCTCCTTGTACAGTGTGCCTTCGCGGGCAATCATGATGTCCGCCAGCGCCCAGTATGCTGCGGCCCACGCGTCGAGGATGTCATCAGTGCAGGCATCACCGAGAACCTCCTTCATGGCTTCCAACAGGTATTTCCCAACGATCTTGTAGTCATCCGGTTGGATGTAGAGAGACGCGTGCTTGTTGCAAATCAATTCAACAGCCGGGCTGAGCGCACCAAGGTCGTTGATATTGGAAGCGTATGCGAAAAGGGCACCTGCCAGCGCGCGTGCCTGGTGACCATTGACCTGGTTGGCTGTGTTGAACACGTTGTTGAGTTCCGGATGCTCGGTCAGCATGTTTCGGTAGAAAGTAGTGGTGATAGCAGTGCCATGTTCCTGTAGGACAGGGACAGTGGCCTTTATGAGCTCAATTTGCTTGGGAGTGAGGGGGGCAGCAGAAGAAGGGGCAGCTTCCTTGAGGGATGGTTGCTGCTTCCGAGCATTGAATGTTCTGTAGATGAAATAGCCGACCAATGCGGCGATTACAACTTGCGATGCGATTGCGACACGACGATCCATGATGCGTGGAAAGTTTGGTGGAGGATATAGGTATGGAGGAAGAAGAAGCGCTGAAGGGGATCGTTGCGACGGGTATTTGACGGGGTATTGAACGAAATGACTGCTCGAATAGACTAATTGATTTACATTTTCAGTCGACGAGGCTGAGTATGAAGCCAGCCGTGTACATGTTATTGTAAAATCTTCCCTAGCAGAGGCACTTTGACGGTTTTGAGGTATTCAAAAGCGATACTATGACGTGTCTGAAATGTCATTTAGCCACTTCCTGCTATCTCCATTGTAATAATACACAGGGTTAAGCTGATGCTGAATGGGAACAATGATCCACTGGATGTCAATCGATCAATCAGATTAACAGTATTGACATAAAGCAACGCCACTGCTAGAGATCGTCGTCTTACTATATTTTGACGTCGTAGTAGCCATCATGCAACAGACTATCAAGACACGTCACCCAGCAACCTCGCTCGATGCTTATTAGTTTCATCGCGAGAGATGTTTCATCGAATTGGAATAAATACTAGAGACTTGAGTCACCGAGCGACAAGGCTGTTTCTTGCGTTTCCTCATAAGACCGGGCCATCGGGATGGCTCCATCCGCCATCTATACCTTAAAGTGCAAGCCCGACCAACGGGACGAGAAAGTTTTGGGCTGACCAAGGAGGCAAGATTGGTGAATCTTGTTTTTATTCCAGGAGATCAGGTTCCACGGGTTCGGAAAGGGTAGCTCCAATGAGGTCTTCACTGAGCAATCGGACGAGTGGAAAAACGTGGATATTTATATCCAGGTAATTGACAATGTCCAATCAGATATTTGAGCAAGGTAATTTGATGCCCTATTTCTCAGGCTGCAAGGCACCAATATACATTAGCCTTCGCGGAAGGGCTCATCTTTACCCAAACGGGAAATGTGACATAGTCATTACATATCTGAATTCGGATGAAGATCCGCTGCAATTGGTCTGACACTCTGGCCGACAGTTTGCTAACTTTCACTACTGCTGTGATCTCCATCGTTACTCTCATACTGCTCCGGATTTCTCAAGCGATCCCTTAATACCTCGAGAATTCCCTTCTCCTCAAGCCCCAGCGTGAACCCATCCGGGATCACCACGTGATTCGGCGTGATGATGATAGAATTCTCCCACAGTAATCCAACCACGCGACTTATCCTTCGTTCTTGAGACGCCTGAGGAACATCCGACGTCTTCTCAATATCCGGTGGACCCTTCTTCCGGCCGACGTCCCGCGGCGTCCACCAGAACATGGGAAACTGACGCTGGATATTGTTGACCACCAACGCGCATCCCAGCATCAGCAACGACCCGATGAGAACCAGCGGGACGAAGAACCAGCCCATCGCGCCGATGGTGGGATCCACGGCAGCCAGAAGCGCCGTGGCTCCCCCCGGCGGATGGACAGTATTCGTCAGGCCCATCACCAACGACGCCAGAGCGGTGCAGACTGCCCCGGCGACCCAGCGGAGGCTATCAAAGTCTGATCGGAGCATGAAAAGCTTGGTGACTCCAACTCCGACCACGGCCGCGAGCACATGTCCCAGGATGGAACTGCGCGGTTGAGCCAGCGGGGATTGGATGGTTTGGTAGTCCAGGATGGCCGTTGCGCCCTAGAACGTCAGCACGTGTTGAGGATACCTTTAGCATCAGGAAAACATACCAGACTAGCAACTACGAGCGGAGGATGATGCGCTTGGATAGTCTCGCTGGCCTTGAAGACACCCATCACCAGAATTAGTCCAGTAAACGCGCCGACAAATGCCCATGCGCAGACCAGCAGATTGCCTACTTCCGGCTGCGGGATTCGGCGGTACCCTAGAAACCGCGAGATCGGCCATGGTAGGCGATGAAGCTGGGATTGGGGAAGATATGGATTGATGTATCGATCAACGTCGAAATCAATCTCTTGAGCGCTGGGAAGCTTCATTCTCTGGATCATTCATTGCGATGGAGACTCAGCAGTATGGGATATTAAATGACGATGGAAGAGGATATGTATGATATATGGAGCAGCGCAGACATTAGGTAGAAGGAAAAACATAATTAACTGCGGCTATTCCGGTCCAAGTTTTTCCTTGGCTCAAGATCCTTGGCAAATTGATCTGCTTAATTCACGGTGGAGTGCAATTATGTCATACCTTGGGTATACTTTTCGAAAAAGGAAAAATGGCTCGCGGAAGAGTATAACCGATCCTTCCACCTAGTTGCAGACTGATCCGCCAGCAGAGATCACAGAACAATGACAAAAGAAAGCCAAGAAAGCCAAGCTTTGTGCCTGTCTCATATATCCTGGTTTGTAATTTGATCGAATGGTTTTTGCTGAGTAAGAGTTGCAGCATCGCATAACTACCATGAGGGAACGATGTAGAGGCCCGCCCCATCTATGGCGGTGTCTTCTTTGAGAGAACCAGGTGTCTCAAAACCAAGTTAGCCATTGCCGCCAGACAATTGGTCCTGACTTACCAGTAACTTGGACTTTACTGCCCGTGACTTATTGGAAATCGACTCGAGCAATTCTGAAGTTGTGAGAGTGCGGAAACCTCCATGATCGATATCCGCCACTTTTTGGTCGTCATCTGCGATGGAGACCTGTTGCAGTGCGAGCTCCCACCTCCGTAGTAACTCGTCGGCGATATCGATGGAAATAAGTTGCTTGTCAAAAGCCGCTTCCAAGCCAACACCATCCCGGGTGATGGCACACGTCAGCCTCAACGATCGAGTGATTGCGGATTGCCCCCAGAGAAGAGGGAGACGTAGTTTTGCCTTGGTAGGCTCAAGAAAGGGCAAAATATTCACGCGGATCGCGCTCTTGCAGACTTCATGCAAAGAAGGATTGATTCGAGCGACGTTTTCGATTTGGAATTGGTCAAAGGTGGTGATGGAGCCCGAATCCTCTTGGGTCTGGCGGATCAGCTCCAGAACGCTCTCTTGGGGATCGACTCGAATTTTCAACGGATAGGCAGCAAGGGTTGGAGCAAGCAAGTCTTCGATTCCAGATAGATCCACTTGTCGACCATTACTGAATAGCTCCAGAATTACATCCCTGCAATCAAGCATGTTGCTAATCGTGAGAGCCAAAGAGATATTGAGACGCGTAGAGATTGGCTTGCTGCTACTGGAGTAGTTAACCAAGCTGACATGGCGTTGGAGAGTTGTGTCGGCAAAAACAGAATGGCCTTTGGGAACAGCGCCCAACGGCTTCGTGTCCACATCGGCTAGATATGACGTCCAGAAGGCCGTCGCGGCGTGTTGATCCATTTGTACGATTTTCTCGATGAAACGGTTGTACTTCAACTCCGGAGCGGGACAGTAGCCCCGGTGGTAGACGTGATCTAGGGTTTCAAACAGCTGATATAACGAGTATGCATCGTATGCAGCATGTTGAACGGTTAACACGAAAAACTTTGCTCCCAGGTTAGAATCGTCGATCACCCCGAATCGATACAATGGTTCGCCAACGCCCATGATGCGCTTGTGGTCTTGCTCCAGATAGTCCTCCAGCGAGTCGCCCCGGCTGCACAAGGCATGCTTCTTCATCACCACTTGAATGTATCCTGAGCCGCATGGACGGCGGATCATCCGAGTTCGAAGAATCTCATAGGTGCCGATTATTACATCCCATGTCTGGAGAAACGTCTCGGGATCGACCCAGCTTGGCAGCAGATGTACGCTTTGCCTCTGGAACAATTCCGAGTTGATGCCGCCATCAATAAAGAAAGTCTGCTGGGGTGTGGCAGGATAAGCATCTTCGATATCTGTTATGGTTACACCGCACTGGGAGGCTGCCTCTTGCAGAATTTCCTCTTTCTCGTTTTCGGGTAGGAGCGAAAACGGGGCGACATCATGCTCATTGCCCTTGGAGATGAATGAAGTGACATCTGCCATGCATGCCAAAGTTGGGTTTATGACAATTTTATCCGTCGTCAGTGATAGGCCTTCCTTTCGAGCAGCGACGACGAGACGCATTGCCGAGAGAGAGTCTCCTCCAAGGCCGAAGAAATTGTCCTGGCGCCCAATTTTTGTCACTCCGAGCAATGACGTCCACAGCTGCCCAAGTTGTTCCTCAATGGGAGTGCATGGAGGCTGATATTCCTGCACTGACGTTTGGAATCGCCCCAAATCTGCTCTGGAGAACATAGAAACCAGCTGCTGCAGTCTTTTTCTGTCGGTCTTTCCATTCGGGGTGAGGGGGCTACTTCGTAGAGGTACGTAGATCGATGGAACGGCGTAAGCAGGCACGAGACGCGCCAGTTTGGACCGGCCGTTCGAAATAAGCGAGGCAAATGCTTTCTGTTCAGTTGGCGAAGTATGAATAGCCGGCTTGTCGGTGTGCTCCCAGTGGAGAAACCCTACCGACTTGTCTGCACCCACAACTATGAATGCCGTGAGTGAGGGAGTCCGGTTGTCGGAATCAGCAGGGGAGGCTAGCATAGCTATAACTTGAGGAATCACTATTGTTTCGGACAGGCAGGTCCTCAGATGCAGCTCGACCTCCTCGAGTTCCACGCGTTGGCCACGGATCTTGACTTGATTGTCCTTTCGTCCAACAAAGTAGAATTCGCCGTCTTGAGTGTATCTGCCCAGATCACCGCTCCGATACATGGGAAAGAATTTGGAGATACTGGCTTCGAATCCTCGAGCCCATCGTGGAGGATCCCGTAAATATACCGCTTCCGTCTTTTGCTTTTCAGCATGGTACCCACTGCCGACGATGGGACCTTCGATCACAATCTCTCCAGCTTGTCCGACCGGGGACAGCTCGTCGGGGTTGTCCGGATTCACGATCCAGAATCTACATCCCACTGGCCTACCCAGGACTCCTGGTCGGTAGACTTCACGGCTGCAGTCCACGATCGACGCAATCACGGAGCATTCGCAGGGGCCGTAGGCGACGATAATGCGGAAGCTGTCACTGAGGCTGTGCACTATACCGGGATCAGGTTGTTCTCCTCCAGTTATTATGGTTCTGAGTGTCTGAACCCTCGTCAAAGGTAGCAAATCAAGCATTCGCGGAGTAAAGAAAGCGAGCGTCACTTCCATCTGATTCATAGTCTCAACTAGGCTGTTCATCCGCTGTTCCTCCGATGGCACGCATATACAACCTCCCCAGACCAAGGTCCAGATGATTTCGAGAACGGACGCATCGAATGTGTAAGATGTAAAATGCAGTGTACGAGACTGGTCGTCAAATCCCATAGCTCTGCCGCTGGAGACTGCACTGCTGCTTAAATTCCTATGTGGGATCAACGCTCCTTTCGGAAGACCAGTGGTACCAGACGTAAAAAGGGTGAAGGCAATGTCATCAGGGTGTGATGCCTGCATTGCAGAATTGACAGGTGCTTCGGTTCGTAGGCTGCTCATGTGGTCGTCATCAACCACGAATACCTGTTCAAACGTATGGCTGTATGATTGGGCGCACTTCTCCGAAGCAAGTGCGAATCTTGCGTTTAATTGACTCACGACGGCCTGAATCCGACCTTCTGGCATGGATGCATCGAGGGGCACGACTGCAGCACCCGCCTTGAGGACGGCCATCATTGCCACGATGGGCCATTTAGACTTGGAGAAGATCAAGGGAACTAAATCTCCGGAACCTACTCCGGTGGTTGCTAGTTTTTGCGCAAGCAGTGATGATAGCTCCTCGAGTTCGGCGTAGGTCAGGTTACCGTCCCATGCACATATGGCTGGGGCATTCGGTCGACTCAAAGACCGTGCTTTGATCAATTCATGCGTACAGGCGTCGACACAGTCTGGGGATTCCTGATTGCCATAGAGAGCCAGTTGTTTATCTTTTGCCATTTGAACGATGGTGATATTGTTGTTGTTTTGGTAGATGAATGCTGGATTGCTGGTAATGAAATATTTGCTGTCATCCAAATGGGTCTAAGGGGCTGTTATGTATGTTTCACCACATCATGATCCCATGGTGTGGAGTGGTATAGAGGGAAACTCACTGCTTACTGTGATATTTTCCTACTGTAGGTGACTAACATGCGAGCCATGCATTAGCTTTGCGCTCTTCTCCAGTTATGGAACACACCACTAGCAATCAGCAGCATAATACATGGCAGATATGACTAGTGCGAAACGGATTGTAAGAGGGGAAACAAGGCCGCCGAGTCTGGGGGGTGCTTACTATAGCGGGTCATATTAATCCAACAGGGATATGCAGCCAACCCTCCGGGGAGGACTCGTTGGTTCAGTTTCCGTATATATGACAGCAATTTGACCCCAATGGGCCATATTTCACTTTCACTCTCCCTGATTCTTTCTCATCATACCTACAATCATAGAGCACATTGCCTCCATGGCCTCCAATCTCGATCTTGTAAACGATGCCGATTCCTTTCCCTACCACAATGATGACAAAAATGTGTACCGGTTCACTGTGGCTGGAGTGCCTGCTATCCTTGGCTACATTACACACCCAGTTCGGGATGCATTACAAGGCCTTCAACACTGGCAAGTGAATGACTCAACACAGACCGTGATCCTCACTAGCGGCAGCAATAGAGAGGAGCGGAGTGCAGTTATGAAACAGACTTTGCTGGCCATGCGTGATAAAGGGCAATTCCAGCTCCTCAAGAAATGGCGGGATGAAGACTTTCCAGTTTATGGCGAGAGAAAGGAAGTTCTTCTTACCTTTGAGCGCTGCGCCAGTCCGCTCTTCGGGATCGTTACTTATGGAGTACATGCTATAGCCTACAGGCCTCCCTCTGTGGACGGAGAGCAGCTCAAGATATGGGTTCCGCGTCGAGCCCGGAACAAGCAATCGTACGGAGGAATGCTGGATAGCACGGTCGCAGGGGGCGTTGCCTCAGACGAGACGCCCTTTGAGGCGCTGGTCCGCGAGTGTGAAGAAGAGGCTGCACTACCGCGGGAATTTGTTCACAAACACGCCATCGCGACTGGCATGGTATCCGATTTCTACATACGCGGCAAGCAAGCAGGGGGCGAGACCGGACTCCTACAACCCGAGTGCCATTACGTCTACGACCTGCCACTGCCGTCGGATATCGTATGCAAGAAGAACGACGATGAGGTGGAAGAGTTTAACCTGTGGACTGTGGATGAGATCAAACGAGCATTGGCCAACAGGGAGTTCAAACCGAATTGCGCACTCGTTATGCTTTACTTCTTCATCCGGCATGGAATCTTAACAGCCGAGAATGAGAAGGATTATATCCAAATCGTGGCACGATTGCACCGACGATTCGAATTCCCTACCAGATAGACCCACCCCTCTCTGGTCATGCCATATATCGACTAGTTTAGTCAACTTATTCGGTGCTACAATACTTTTGCTCCAAGTCATATCGTTCATTTGGGCTGTATCCATGACACCTAGGTAGATGAAATAGCGAAAATATCCCGATCAGAGTTAGCGCTTCGTTAGTAGTACACGAGTCGACTCATATGGCATCGTGAACGTCTCCCAAGACCATTTCCGCCTGGCTTTCTCATCGGCAAAGCGCAAATCGAAGGAGGACAGCAAATGAGCCAGGATCATCTTGATGACCAACGATGCATGGAACCGACCGGGGCTGTTGGAACACGCCATGATTAGACTTCTTCCTCGAACATAGAATTGGGGTTAACTCTTGACTTACCACGCCAGAGAGCCATATCCCCATATGGGAAATTTCTCGGAGACCTCGGTCAGCTTGGTGCCGCGAGCAGAGGACATCGTTGTCACAAAGCGTCGGCCATCGAATTCATCGGGGTTGGGATAGACCTCCTTGTCGTGCATCAGGTTGAATGAAGAAACGCAAGCTGTTGACCCCTTGGGGACATGGATTCCACCGTCGGAGAATGTAAACTCTTCCAAGGCCTTTCTGCGGATCGCGTCTAGAGACATCGTGTTAGATCATGCAGCACTATAAAACTAGAGCAGTTGATGCGTAACATACGAGTGTCCAAAGGGTTCATCCTGATCGTCTCCTTTATAAAACTGTCCAGGAGAGGAAGTTTCTCCAGTCGTTCGTAGTCATACGCACTGAAATCTCCAATCTCCTTTCGCAGTATAGACTGCCATTCCGGGCGTGCGCAGAGTTCCAACAGGATAAAGTCCAGGTTCATCCATGGCTGGTGCGATGCCGCAAACCAGATTCCTAGCAATGCCTGCGAGAGCACTTCCGGGCTCCAATAGTCGTTGCCCTCGACCATTTCCGACATGTTGTGAATGATGGTCGTCTATCACGGCGGTTAGTATCATGAAATCATCTCACTACAATTTGGTTTGCGTTAGGCCCACCTGTTTAATTTCCGGTACCTCTTTCCAGTTCTTCTGGTTGACACCCAGGACGCTAATCAGCTGGTTCTGGATTATATGCATGGCGCGTCCACGATTAGTGAGGAGGGAATGAACCACCCTGCGAGTACCATTAGCCGTTCTATGTCCAGTCTTTCGTCTAATAAACTGGTTCAGGGGGATTCATACGGAGAAAGGAATGATGGAGTCACTTGAAATGCAGCCATGCACTTGACCATATCAGCAGGATAGCGAAGAAGCGCCTCCGCAAACACAGGATCAGCAGCTGTGTCAATTAGCAATTGTTTGAGATAATGAGGTCGGTAAGAATCCAACATACACAGACGTTCGCCAAAGAATATGAGACTGTTCATTCTTGACGCGAGCCTCCGAACGGTTTGCGCAATGGGGATGGAAACAGAGCCTACACTCCATGTGAGATATTGCTTCAATCAGAATGGTACGATTGCGTACCATCAATGAAAACCCCAGCTTCAAGCTCCTGAGCTAGAGATTGCTCCAATCGCTTCTGAAGATGCGGATAGAGCTTCGCCAGGTTGGTAGGACCGTTGACCTGGAGCAGGCGTCCGTAGAGACGCGAGCGGGCCACCTTGTGATCATGATGATCGAGCTTGTTCATTGTGTGTTTGAAACCGAACATCTAGATTACGTTCAGAATGTCCGGCCCAATCCCGAGTAGAGCAGCGTACATACGTCGGCGTAGGCGGCGCGCTGAGATAGCACCGGTGCCTCACTCAGCTCCATGATTTGCCTTTTGCTGGAAACGACCACGATTGCTTTGGCGGACTTCCATGGCTTGTAGTATTTACCCGAGCTCTGATTCCGTCAGATGGACTAGTTACTTCCAGCTGTGGTGTGGAACATACATAGTCATGGATGATCGAACCAAGACTAAGGAAATACTGGCCGATTTTGTCCGACATTGACTGTGGAAGTAGCTGGTGAACGTTAGCTTAAGGCCTCGATGTGGGAAGTCAAGTATACATACATAATAGAGCTCCGTGGAAACGAGAAAGACAACCGCACACCAAAAGAGGATGGGACTCGCTAAGTTATCCAGCGCCATGATGGTAACAGTGACAGCAGCGGAGATGAAATCTAGATTGGAACCTTCCAAAAAGCAATAGCTGGTGGATATGAAAATCTTTCCATTTTATATCCCTCTTTCTAACATGAATACCGTCGGTCCACAAGATATGACTTGGAGGGGTGAAAGAGTAATCTCTACGTACCTTTGTCGCTTCAGGTTGGTCAGACTCGGTCATCATCATCACCCAGAAGTCGACCTCATTGGATCTGCGTTAGGTGTGCAGCATACTGTAACAGAATATTTGCAGGGATAGCTCCCCGGGATCCACTTCCATTCTCCTAAACACTCTGTATATTGAGTAATTATCCCGTATCTTAACGTAAAGGATCTAAAAGTCGTGTTCTATGGTGCGAAAAGGCAGTAACTCGTCCCAGGCCTTGTAGTTCGGCGGCTACACCAAAAAAGCTTCAAAGGAGAAAGACAATGTTATGCCACTATGAACATTAAAATGACTAGATTGCTTTTACCAGCCCTTTAACAGTATTGAGTGTACCATGAGCATGAATCTATGCATATTGACTGATGGTTTAGGTAGGCATTCGATTTGTATTGATATCATACAAAGCTAATCTCTGATTCTGACTTCACAGTGAGAGAGAGGCTGAAAATTAGAGCAGTAGTGCATAGGTAATTGATAATAGAATAAAACCTACACCTGTCAAGGTAAACGGATGTAATCCTACTAACATTTTTCCGACACCTGCTGAACTGCCTGCCCCTTAATGGTCTGAGGCGCTTGTAGAGATTATATTAGATACCATTGAAGATGGAAGACCCTTTCGGCTGTCTGTATTTTACCTCCCCTACAGTTACACCTATACAAGTGGTTTCTCCCTGTAGGTTTCTCCCTGTATGGAAGATGATTGAAGCCTGCCGCCGTTGTCATATTCTGGTTGCACTATCCAGAAACGGATTCAGTCTATTGCCAGAATGAATCAAGCCTGCCTTAGGGCTGACGCGTGCGGAAAATCAGTTAGGAGCTGATTGGAAGTCTGTCATCCTGTTGCAACGCAGTTGCATTATCGAAAGAACCTACTGGCCCGACCACAATTACTAAAACCAAGCCTGCCTTAGTAGGCTGGCGCGTGTAGTCAATATGCAAGTGGATGCATGTTTACCCGTGCAGCTCTACCGTATCAACTCGTAGCCTCGGGACACGCATCTCTAGGGGCCGCTTTGCAATAGTTTTCACTCATACAGGCTGTTACCTTTCTTGTCATGCAGCTTGGCCTGTGTCCATGGAGCATAATACACATAAATTCTTGTACCAATTTCGAGATCACGAGACCACCTGCGGCAGGAGATCAACGGTGCAGAGACGAGACCATTTCCACGAAGAATATACATAGTCTCCAAATTCCCTGGCACAGGTTACTGGTTACACTACGTTTTTAAGAACAATTGGGAAACGCAGGATCTTTCTGATCAACTTAAGCTTTTGGAAATCTTGGACGGGTCTAACCATCAGTTATGGCAAATCCGTCGACAGCGCTCTCTATAGTGCAGGGCTCAACTGAACATGCTCTCTGGGAGTTAACACTCGGTCAGCTCGTTGACCAGCAGGCTGAAAAATTTGGCTGCAAAGACGCCATCATAGTCCCATGGAGCTCCGCTCGCCTGAGCTTTAGCCATTTGAGCCAGCAGAGCCAGGACTTAGCCAAGGGCCTTTTGGCCAAGGGTGTCGCGAAGGGCGACCGAGTGGCGATATTTTCCAGCGATGATGAAAGATTCATTGAGCTCTTCTTTGCTGTCGGACGAATCGGGGCCATTCTCGTGGTCCTTAACAAGACATACACTGTGCAAGAATGCGACAGAGCACTTCGATATTGCGGTGAGGATTGGTATTTCTTGAACCGCTGACTCTTCTGCTAATTAGTCGAATTGAAGAACCTAATATTCTTTTTCTGGGCGATATTGTAAACCAGGCACCATCCGGGCCACTGGTGCAGCACTTGCGAGTGCACCCAGTCCCAAGCTTAAAGCATGCTGTCTTGATACGATCCGATACAAGTGTCCAGGAGCAAACAAGCACTTGGGATGAGATTCTTCATGCAGGGCGCCTAGTGGCGAAGTCTACGCTTAATCAGGCCGAGAGTACTGTTCGTTGCAGGGAGGTGGTCATTTTCCAATTCACGAGCGGCACCACCGGGGTACCAAAAGGCGCTATGCTTAGCCATTTGTGAGTTTACAGCGAGATTACATTTATCGCGTACTGACCAGGAATCGATCAGCAATGTCATCAACAATGCACGCTTCATAGGTGAGCGTCTGAATCTGACCACAGATGATGTGGTGTGCTGTTCGCCCCCACTATTCCACTGCTTCGGGCTTGTCGCGGGGATGTTAGCCTCTCTCATCCACGGAAGTACTACTGTCTTTCCACATCGGGATTTTGATGCGCGCGCTGTTATCGATGCGGTGGTGAAGGAGCGCTGTACAGTACTGCATGGGGTGCCGACAATGTTTTCCGCCATCCTGCAGCAGTTACACCAAACCGGGATAGAGATTAGGACACTACGGACTGGTATAATCGCTGGATCCAAGGTACCCCCAAGTCTGCTAAGGGAGGTCCAAGAGAAGCTAGGCTTTCGGGATATTGCAATCACTTATGGTATGTCCGCTGCCTTCAATATCAGGTACGCTGTAATTAACGATGCATACTAGGCATGACCGAGACTTCGCCAGCAAGCTTCATGACCAGCTCTTCAGATACCAAACAACAGAAAATGGAAAGCGTCGGAACGGTGCTCCCGCATGTGCGAGCAAAGGTGGTTGATGGCCACAACAGGGTCTTGCCGCGGGGTTCTCGCGGCGAACTTTGCGTATCTGGTTACCTTCTGCAACAAGGTTACTACAAGAATCCAGAAAAGACAGCTGAAGCCATGATCTGCGATGAGCAGGGGACATTGTGGATGCATACAGGTGACGAAGCGTTGATTGACGAGCAAGGATATTGCCAAATCACTGGAAGACTCAAGGATATCATTATTCGAGGTGAATATTTCTCATTGATGCTTTCCATCCCGTCAACGACCGTTCATTAACATGTGATCATAGGAGGCGAAAATATATATCCCCTCGAGATTGAAGAACGGTTGATATTACACCCCGCAATTGAGCAGGCTAGTGTTGTCGGGGTCAAAGATGAAAAATACGGCGAGTGTGTCTGTGCCTTCCTTCAGTCACGGCCCGGCCATGACCGGCCGTCCCTTGCCCAGGTAAAGGACTGGGTGCGCGGAGGACTTGGGCGACACAAAGCTCCAGAATTCATATGGTGGGTTGGGCCGCGTGATCCAATCAGCCAATACCCTGCGACTGGAAGCGGGAAGATTAGAAAGGACATCCTGAGAGAGATGGGAAATGAGATGGTTGAACACGCAAGAGCTCTACCAGCTAAGCTGTGATGCATAGAGACTAATGCAAGTACTGAAGCTAGCATTTCATAGAGTTTAAAGACAAATGATCGTCGGACGGACTTAGAAATCCCGTGGAATCTGCAGCTAAGGCCAAAATCGTCGGACTTGGAAAGGCCGAGAGACCTGCAGCTAGCTTAAATAGTATGAAACAATCATAGGGTTGAATGACTGTGATATTTTGATTGAAGCGCTTCCAGCGCAAAAGTGAGGGGAGATCAGCAATGACATGCCAGCTAGATCATGCCGAGGTCTTTAGTAGATTGTGTTAGGCAGTTCATAAACATACATCTCAGCCCTCTCGCTAGATCAATCCATTTGAACAGAATAAATGTTCTGGCCTTCAAGACCCAGCTCTTCCAGAGGCACAATGGCTTGTATCTTACAAGCATATTATTCATTATACATTGCTTGAGAGTAACATAGTTCAGGGCCTTGGATACAAATAAATGTGATTTAATGGTAAGGTACTTTTATCAATCCCTCATAGCATGCATTATGGCCTGTGAGCACACTATCTTACCCACCAATAACGCCTATTCCATTAGCGCCAGGAGGTAGGGTAGACAACTGATGCAGATCGTCCGTTTTGGAGGCCTAGTGGTTTGTGGAGAATAAAGAAGTCAAGGTCAGGTAGGAGTTATGCATGATTGAAATGCTGTCCAAGCGTCATTTTGTTCTTTTTCTCTGATAAACAGTCCTTGGTCTTGACATGGGATGTTACATCTATTCCCTGCCGACCTGCATGCTTGTATAAGCTATCTCTTCCGCTGTTGCTAATGACCTGTTAAGCAGTGGGTCTTTCAAGTCCCAAGGAAGCCCATATGTTGATTGGCCGTCCTTGTGTATTTTATCTTCTCTTTTCACGTCTTGACCAATCGGCTTGGCGGCATGCACGGTGGCTTGGAGGGCCCACTATTTGATAGGCTTTAGTCGCCTGACAGCCGTTGAATAATGGATCTCCTCGTAGCGGGGATCTTTGGGAGTGATATCCCACCAGCAGAGTAAGTAAGCACCGAGTCATGTATTTGACACGCCACCGACCTGACGTGCTTATCATTTACTGCATTTAGAATCTTCAGAGGGTGTGATGCCAATTTATTGCAGTAGACGGCAAAAATGAGTCTGTTAGTTATAAATATAGATACCGATAGAGGACTGTGCATGGGTTAGACTCCAGATTGGGATCAATCTTCAAGCCTGGATATTACATCCCGAGCTACCTGACGTAGTAATCTCTTGTTTTCCAATTCTGGTCTGCAACCGGACATCGACAACGGGATTCACTGACATAATGACAGCTGTGCCATTGCAGAATTCATCCTGGGGGTTTCGTCTTCGCTCCCTTGCTGAGGCTTCTCTGGGGATAGATTTCGCATCAACTGCCTATCCTTCTATTCAATCTGTGTCCTACCTGATTATTGTCTTTCCACTCTTGTTGCTAGTTTATGCTCTTCAACGCCCCAAGTCCCGGCTACCACTTGCGAACCCAAGAAGGTTCTTTGAACTCTCGGACAGTCGGGTCAAAAGGGAGTTCATCTCCGGTGCCCCTGACATAATAGAAAAAGGCTTCAGCCTCACTGGCAACAAACCCTTCCGTATCATTGCAGATATAGGGGAAGTGACTATTCTCCCTCCGAGCCTGGCCAATGAGGTCCGCAACAATAAGAACCTCAGCTTTGCCAAGTACATGTACCGGGTGAGGCAGACTAGAGACCGACCAGCATTGTATTGTATACTGACACCTCTTAGAATTTTCACGCACATCTCCCTGGATTCGAGGCCTTCATTGAAGGAGGGCGGGACTCACGTCTGGTGAAACATGTCTCCCAGCGTCAGCTTACGACCACCTTAAGTACATAACCAGTGTTGTATTTTTTGGGACTTGTCAGGCTGACCAGTTACTCCCAGACAAAATTACTGTGCCCCTGTCCGAAGAATGCTCTTTGTCACTCCAAGAAATCTTCACTGATAATGAATGTAAGTACGAGGACTGTGATTCTCAGGAACGGGTTCTAACCCATGGAAAAGGGTGGCATGATATCGTTCTCAAAGATGACATCATCCGCATTGTCGCTCGTCTCTCATCAAAGGTCCTGCTAGGAGACGAACTGTGCCACGACGCCCGGTGGTTGAAGCTCACAGCACAATACACGACAGTGGCATTTCAAGCCGCGCAGTACCTCCGTATCTTTCCATACTACAGTCGCTACTTTATCCATTGGCTTCTGCCCGGCTGTTGGAGTGCTCGAGCCCAAGTAAAGGAGGCCAGGTCAATAATCGGGCCTGTTTTGAAACAGCGGCGCAGGCAGAACGCTGCCCTTCAGGCGCAAGGCAAGAAACTGGTGGAGTACAATGATTCCATCGAGTGGTTCGAACAGGCTGCCAAGGGAACCTACTATGATCCTGCCATCTCGCAACTGATGATGAGTTTCAGCTCCATTCATACTTCCGCGGAGTATGTGTCTAGGGCCAGAGTTCCCTCCACGGTTCCTTGACTTTTGAAACATCTACTGATTTGATGATTCTGATAGTCTCATTACACAAACTATCTTCGATCTCGCTGAGCATCTGGAAATGATTGCGCCTCTACGCAAGGAGATTCTAGCGGTCCTCGGCGAGCACGGCTGGACAAAGATCGCACTATACAAGCTCAAACTGATGGACAGCGTCGTCAAGGAAACACAACGTCTCAAGCCTGTTCTCTCAGGTGAGTATTCCACCTATAGGGTCCATATCGGAGCATCGCAAAGTAAACCTAGCTGACTGGGGCTACGACAATATAGCAAGCATGCGTCGCGTTGCTACGGCGGACGTGAAGCTTTCCGACGGCACTACAATCCGCAAAGACTCCATGGTTGCCGTCTCGGCAAGGGGTCAACGCGATCCGGCAGTGTACAAGGACCCTGACCACTGGGACGGCTATCGGTTCTACAATATGCGGCAGACTGCCGGTCACGAATGCGTTGCACAGCTAGTTAGTACGAGTCCAGATCATCTGGGCTTCGGACACGGCCAGCATGCGTGTCCAGGTCGCTTCTTCGCCGCCAACGAGGTCAAGATTTTCCTCTGTCATTTTCTACTCAAATATGACTTCAAGCTGGCAGAAGGATCTATGCCCCGGCCGAGATGCTCTGGTTTCCATATCAACTGTGATCCAGTTGCGAAGATCTCTCTCCGCAGGCGTCAGGGGGTTGATCTGTCGGTACTGGAGGCGTAGGCCTGCCCTTTTTTCGCGCGTTTACCCTCTCCACGCTCGAATCCAGAAAATCAGCTTCCTAGCATGCTTTTGACTGCACTTATTAGCACAGTTAGTCCAATCACAGTACACCAACATTTTCTGGTCCGTAAAATCTTCAGACTATTGGAAGTTGCTCTTTATCATTGAGCCATTAAAGCAAGAGTGTTGAATCCGCATCCAGTGCCAACTGGACAATAAGGTTCTGTTCAAGAGGTTTACAGAATTTCTGAAGGAAAAGCCATTGATCTCAACGGACAGAAGCAACATATAATGAGGAAGCGCTGGGGAGCAAAAAGATTTTCGCATGCCCGATATAATGTGAAATTTCTCTTCCTATTGCTGCGGCGGCAGCGGCGTGTATCATTTATATGTCAGGCGGACAACGCTTGGAAATCAAAAACCTACGCCAATACCACTGTAGCAAACAGCTTAATCAAAATAAATACCATAACTATTGCCCACTTCAGGTTGAGTGACTTGTCGATATCCTAGGAACCGAAAGAGCGAAGGTAAGCACAGACATTCAGTAGGAGTAAAGCATAATCAAATGTGGATTCTTCACGGGGTAAATGACCAGATAAGCTCCCTGTAGTGTGCTAAGATAATAGTCTAGAACATAGCCTCATTCACTAGAACAATAATGACGTAGCAGCGACCAGTCCAGTCCAACTAAAACCCCCTTTTTATGGTATTTATGGGTCGTTGGGCTGAGCCAAGGCATCATCACGTGACTGATACGAGCGCAGCCACAATGAGATGGCTGACGATATTTCAGCTGAAGTCATAACTACTCACGAATCCTGAGTCATGATAACCTGGACATGTCTTTAACGAAACTTCTTCTACTACAAACTTGAATTCACCGGCACTGTCTGCTCACTCACTCTGCCACTCAGGGGTGACTGAAACATGTCCAGCGACGGGTCTGCTCGCGCCACAAAATCAAAGGCAAAATGTTACACGTGCCGACGGCAACGGATCGTCTGTGATGGTGGGAAGCCGTCTTGTATGCGATGCATATCCCGAGGGGTGGAATGTCTGGGATACTCGGCTACACCAATTCGCTGGGTGGCGCCTACATCCACTGTTTCATCAGAAACACCAAGGCCCTCGGACCTCAGTCATGTCCCGGGCCAGGAAAGGAGAAAACGAGGACGACCGAAGCTACTCCTCATGCGGGGAGCGCCCCAGTCATCCTCCAGTTTCCAATCAGATCCACATCAATCAGATCAAAATCTCGAATCGGCAAAAGGTATGCATGTGTGCAAGCGTCGTCAGATGGAGTCGTAACTAGAGAGCTCTAACTTGATTGCTGCGGACTGCCAGCTGGCGTGCTCGTCTCTCGCTCGAGATCGAATCCAAAAAATTCAAGAGTTCCTTGGTCCCTTTTTCCATGTGATTATGAGACGCAGAAGATGGTCCTAGAGCTCTCCCATTACTGTATGTGAAGGCCGCAAGTACAGACTCCATGATCTGAGGGCTGACTTTGTACAGTCAACGACCACCTCTGCCCAGAATTGGTCATTGTAGATTCGCCTTTGAACCCGCACCGGATGGATCTCAACATACTCCCCTATATCCCCGATTTCTTGCTCAGTCTCCTGATTACTGCCTCTGCAATACACCAAGTAATCCAGTCGCAGCCCAATTGGCATCTGATCACAGTGAATCGAACACGGGCCTTGCGGGCTAAAGTCCACCCTGGCGAATTGGAGCCTCTCCAAACGCTTCGCCATCCGTTAAGCTATTTCATCTACAAGCACCGATCGCAGTCGTTACGAGGGTTGAATCAGTATTTGTCCGAGGCAGGAGCAGAGGGGCAAGATCTGGTCTTCCATACTGTTACTATCATGCTCATGTCGGAGGTATGCAACAATTCTGTGGCGTTGAAAGTGTGCATCTAACATCAGGGTATGGCATTAGATTCAAAGATCAGCATTCTGCAACTGGAAAATCCATTTCGAAGGTCTGAAGAACATCATTGCATCTCAAGGTGGATTTGAAGTGCTGGTATCCACCAGACTTGGGAATCTTCGATATTCTTTAGGCCACTTCATGCTGTAAGTCCTCTCCTCCTTGATTGACATCATACTAATGGAAGATTCAGAATCGATGTAATGAGCTCGGTCTCCACGGCTGCCTCATCCTTGGCACATGACACTCCGTCACAACTGAGATATATCGACTGGCTGCCAGAGTTACACGGCGACGGGCTGGAAAATGGATTCCCGTGCCCCGATGAGCTTTTGGCGTGTATCATCCACACGAACAACCTCAGATTCATACTTCATCACCATCCTCATGATGACACGGCGCGTGTGAACAGTGCTATTCTGGACCTAGTTCGCAACATCATCACATTCTCTCCCACGGCTTGGGCCCAACGGGCCCTCGACTCCTACAATGAGAGACTGGAAGAACGTGTGGAAAGGCAGCGACCGCGGAAGAGATTGAACCTTGTTCCACAGCCTGTTGAAGGCGAGGGCTGGGCTGATCTGGCCGCTGCATTCCAGGCAGCTACCTTGCTCTACTGCCTCAGGGCATTAGTCCTCAATCATGGGAAGGAAAGCATCCTTCCAGAGATGTTGGGCAACCTTTATGAAGGGCTCATTCCGGATGTCCAGTGCCTTGCCAGCGTAACCCTGAGCAACCTTCTCTGCATGCTTCATCCTTTGATGGACCAACCGCTCCAGAAGGGCAAGTCGTTGGGCCGCTTCATGTTCTGGCCCGTGTTGATCGCGGGGCTGGAAAGTACATGCAGTTCTGAGGCGTTGTCAGAAAGGCCGTTCATTGTGAGCTCTCTGCAGGACCTTTGTCGATGTCTCGGCGACATGAGCGCCCTTGATGCGGCAGTGTTCCTCCTGTCGGCATGGAACCTAGACGAGGCAAATCATTCCGGGACCATGCAAAGAGTTTGCACTTGGGACGAGCTTTTTGAGAGAATGGGCGTGCATGGCGTCTTCTTTTTCTGAGCGAGATATAAGCCAGAGGGCATTGAGTACATAGAAACACAGAAGAAGGCATATATTCAAATGCATCTATAGAGTAGCTTTCCACAGTAAGATATTGATCGACCATCATTCATCATCGTTCTTTGTCTGTCTCACTTCCTCCTGCACTTCGCTGGTCAACGTCACAGCCAGCACAGACGGGATGACAACAACCAGCGCCCCCATACACAGTCCCCAGTCCATGGCGAACTGCGTCATGGCCGGCTTGGCTAGCGCATTCAACCGCCAGGCCATCGCACCCCCAGTCGCCTGGAACGTCTTGTACGCGCCAACGAGGATGGCCGCTACGGCGGGGGAATTCGATCGCGCACCCATAAGCCAGTAGCAGAACCCCTGCCAAAAGGCATCGTATGCCCCGTAGAAGATATACAAGAAAATCGGCCCAGTTGATAGCGAGCTCTGTGTGTAGTCGATGTCCTGTTTATGTCCTTGTGCCCTGCGCCGGTCATACCATTTCTGGAACACATAACCCCCGCCCCAGATGGCCATCCCGGTCACGAAGAGGAAGAGCCAGCCCACTCTCGCCCGATTCTGGCGGTTCACCCGCGGCATATCGAGGATCAGCCCGATGACGAGACCGCCCACCATCTGCGCCATCCAGTACAGCGCCCCGTTGAGGGACCGCGTGCGGATGTTGAAGGTCATCCCGTTGACGATGTTCTGTTGGTACGAGTAGAAGACATTGGCGCAGAAGAACATGGGAATCATACAGAGGACCCGCCAGTCCGTCATCGTCTGGACGGTCATTTTGGCGGTTCGACGCCAGTTCTTCTCTGTCTCCGGCGTGGGCTGCAGTCCTTGCACACGGACGGAAGCGGGTGGGCAGATCAGGGCACCTAGCAGCCAGCCGATGGCCATGATGATCAGCAGGGCGATATAGGTTCCGTCCGTGACGGTCCCGCTGTGCGAGTGGTAGTTGAGACCGAAGCTGGCGAGGGAGCCCACCCCTCCGCCTAGGTTGAAGATGATCCAGAATGCGGCGATGGCCCGGCCTTTTTGGGATTCGGGCACGTACGTCGTCATGATCGCTCCTTGAGCTACCCAGAGGAAGGATGCTCCGACGCCGAGAATGGCACCGGCGGCGATGACAAACGCTCCGTTCGCGGTGTCTGGCAGAGTCAGCATGTATGACGAAAGGGGAAATGGTTTCATACGGCTGAAGCATAGCAAACTGCCCGAGTACAAGGAGTAAGTCCATCCTCCGATCAGCAAGCATACTCTAGGTCCGACACGGTCGAAGATAGGTCCAACGATAAACAAAGCCGTAGCAGCTGTCGCAGCCAGCAAGGCCACTGTTGCGTTCGCGGCGACCGTAGGGTCAACCTGTCCGGATCCTCCCAAGCCAGAGAGAGCATTGTACATCTGAAAAATTAGTGAGTGACTTGAGCAGTTGGAGGAAGCCCTACCCCCGGGCAACAGAAGCAGATGAAGCTGATGAGGATGATCTGGAACCACGAGTGTGTGTAAATCCGATATGGAAGCGATCGCTGTCGGGAGTCTGCACCGGACTCCACGGCGACATCATCTTGATGGATCTCGTCGTGCCCCATATTGGCTGTCGGTCAACCAGATCATCCGATTGTGGAAGAGAATAGAGGAAGGACCGCCATTTTTATCTCGCCAGCGTGAGGCCTGTGTGACCCTTGTGGCTTTGTCCCTTGCTGCCAAAATGCGGAGAAACCAGGTTATGGTCAGCCATGGCTGGCCTATCCGTTGACCGAATTTTAGTTCGTTCGTATAAAAGATGGCTAACTCATAACAGACATCCTGTTGTAAATCATCCCGCTACGACAGTCCACAACTGGTCAGTTTGAATATCCGAATTCTCCACAGGCATGTTCTGTACAACCCCAGATTGGCACTCCTAACCGAGACAATGTAACCCTGTCAAGTAACCCCCACGCGACACGAGGCTAACCGAGGATATACAATACAGAGTCCATAGGACCAATGCAGGGTCTTCATCTCACTTGTCAGACTTATTTTCCGAGAAGCATGGCAACATGGATCTAGCCGGCCTGTCACAGCTTCAGACTGAAGCCGTCAATCCCCGGACGGCGCAGATCGATCAGATCTCGACCCTGGAGATGTGCCGATTGATCAACGAAGAGGATCACCACGTCGCGCCTAGTGTCGCAGCATGCCTCCCCGAAATTGCCGCTGCCATTGATGCGCTAACTCTGCGCGTGCGAAATGGTGGACGAGTCATCTACGTGGGTGCAGGGACCAGTGGAAGGTCAGTACCACAGTACTACCCAAAAGCAACTCTACAAAAGGATGTGTCACTAATCCAGATAATCAGACTCGGGATCCTCGATGCATCCGAGATCCCTCCGACATTTGCTGCTCCGCCGTCGCAGTTTGTCGGGCTGATCGCGGGCGGTGATGCTGCCATTCGACGAGCACAAGAAGGAGCCGAAGATAGTGTCGCTGCGGGCGAGACAGACATGGAAGCTCTGAACCTCGACCCGGACCTGGACAGCGTCATCGGCATAGCTGCGTCCGGTCGTACGCCATACGTCCTAGGATGTTTGGCGTTTGCGAAGAAGATTGGCTGCCTCACCATCGGTGTGGTCTGCGCTTCGCCCTCGGCAATGGGGACGTCGGGGACGGTCGACTTCCTGATTGCTCCGCTGCCAGGGCCGGAGGTTGTGACGGGCAGCACCCGGTTGAAGGCGGGAACGGCGACCAAGCTGGTGCTGAATATGCTTAGCACCGGCACCATGATCCGGACGGGCAAGACATGTGGAAATCTAGTATGTGTTTGCAGCAAGCTGGAAGAATGTGGTTGACCGAATCAGATGGTAGATCTTGTAGCCTCCAATCTGAAACTGGAACAACGATCGCGCAATATCCTGCGAAAGCTGAGTGCACGCTGCGCGGGTATGACGGACGGGGAGCTGGACGCTTTGCTCGCAAGATGCAAAGGAAAGGTGAAATTAGCTCTTCTCGTAGCCGAAACGGGACACCCTGTTGAACAGTGTGAGGAGAGGTTGGCGTCTGCTGGGGGTGTACTCGTCAATGTTTTAGAGATATCTTTTGCACAGGTCAAGAATGTACAGACGCCTGCTACAAACAGACAATATGTACTCTGCATTGACGGGGGAGGGACCAAGTGCGCAGCCGTCGTCGCGGACCTGGCAGGCAGCGTTGTCGGGCGAGGAACGACAGGGCCATGTAATCTGTACGCTTTTACCCGTTTCCTTTGAATCACAGCTGATGGCGACAGAACTGATGGCAACGGCATGGGGGAGGTAGTTCAAACGCTTATGACTGCTACCAAGGACGCGTTGTCCACAATTCCTTCCTCGGAGTGCCATCTCCAGTCGCTTTTCAAATCAGTCTGGATTGGTTTGGCGGGCATTGAGCGGAAGAACTTCCAGGAGTCCCTTTTACCAAAGATCTGCGTGCTCTTTGGATTGACTGAAAAGGAGATCAGACTGACAAACGACGTGGATCTGCTTGCGGCCGCTGCAAGTTCCCACCAAGACTGTTCATCAGCAGTCGTCGTCATTGCTGGCACTGGGAGTGTCGCCATGCGATACAATCGAGGTGATGATGACAATGAGTACTCCCGAGTCGCTCGATCCGGTGGATGGGGACACATCCTGGGTGATGAAGGAGGCGGATATGCCATCGGCCTGGAGGGCATCAAGTACACCTTGGCCGTTCTCGAGGAGATGAGACTCGGAGTACGCATTGAACCCCTGGGACGTTTGGAGCAGGCCGTTCTTAAACGACTGGGATGTGTCAACTGCGGGCCAAAGCAGATTGATCTCGTCAGTGAGATCCTGGTTCAACAACACAAGCAGACGATCAAATCTCGGATTGCAGGTGTCGCCGAAGTGGTGCTCAGCCTGGACGGACAGGATGACACTGCCTCGGCCATTGTCGGTCGACAAATTGACTATCTGGCAAGTCGAACTGTAGGACGTCTGTTAGATCCTGGTTGTGCTGGATACGTCCCTACAGAACGCACCGGTTTGATTCTTTCCGGTAGCATCCTCAACAATCAGTCTTACCAGGATCAATTTTTGGATGTCCTTACGAAGAAAGGAGCCCGGTTCGCCTATATCGAGAGGGTATCTGATGCAGGCCTTCTGGGCGTAAAACACCTGATATTGTCTTGATTAGTATAAGTGCGAAGGTTTACTACCCATCTAATATAGATTTCTTCAAGAACGAGTGTTCGCCTCGACGACTAATTATGTCCCCGGCGATACTCAATTTGTGTCCTTTCTCATCCTGTTTGTTTTACACGCTATGGAAACAGGTGACATTAACTAGCTAACAACTAGTGACTCAATGTTACGATTAGTGAAAACTTATATCATAGGTAGCTGGATCAATTCGCTGCTCGTTGTGCCTCCATTCCCACTTGGATCATCGCATCTTATACCTAAGGTACCTCATCCAGTTTATCAAGTATAAGTATCGACGCACTCAGGCTTTTACCTGCTCCTTCTCCAAAACTGATTGAGACGAAGGCGTTGAGCTCTCGACCGGCGTGCTAGTAGCTGTTTTCTCCCTGGTGAATCCTTGGTATACTTGGACCATCTGCTGAACGCCTCCATCGACAATAGGGTACACAATCGCGACTAACATTGTGCCCCAAAGCCAGATGATAGCAACCACTACCCAGGCCACGAAGAACTAAGACGATCAGCCTCTCGTTTTGACGGGTTTGACCGGATACTCACCGTTTTACCAAAGACATATTTGGCCCCGTACATGGGAAGTGGCCACAGAACCCAATGGCCCAAGAACGTGGCTATCGACCAGAACGCGGCGATGCGGCCCCATCGTTTCAATTCTTTCGCGCTGAATGATGGAGCATTTTGCCTGTGGCTGTGCACTGTTGTGAGGTCACCTTCGAGTTCCTCCAGAGCCAGTTTCTCCTTCTTGAACTCCGCCCAATCGTAATTCTGTGGTCGCAGGAGGGTGAGGATGACCGAGTAAATGATGGGTGAAAAGGCAGAGGCAACTGTGCCGTAGACGCAGGGCAGGATCTGGCCCGTTGTGGATACTGTAACGGCTCCATAAAAGTGCTTGGCCGTCCCCAGCCAGACCCCCAGACCGGTTGCCAGACCAAGCACCGGGGCAAGGATTGCCGCTACTTTGTTCTGCTGGCGCCACAGGATGGTAAACGCCATTGGAAAGATGCCAGGACAGGTGACCACGCCTTTGCGGTTAGTTACGGACCTAGGAGTCGGAAAGAAAATACTTACCGAGCATATACAGAGTCCATCCCAGATCTATGCCGACGTAGTGCAGCATGGTACTGAAGCCGGCGGAAAAGGCCGCGAAGAAGATGACTCCAAAGTGACTGGCACGGATGATGTCGCGATCGGAGGCCTTTCGGTTGAAATACTCGCGATAGACATCAAAGCTCAGGATCGAGCTGACGGCAATGACTTGCGCCGACAGCGTCGACGTTACAGCCATGAAGGTGATGAGAAGGATGGCCGCCGCGCCTCCTTTCCCTGCAACCGCCATCGCCGCATAAGGCAGGACGAGTCCGTTGCTGACCTCGGCCGATGTCATGCGCTGGTACTGGTCAGTTCTGTTCTTGTTATGCTGGAGGCTACGTACGCGTGGGTATGTTGGGAAGATGGGCTGATTCTCTAGACCAAGTGCGACAGAACTCATGATGGTCCCTAGAGCCCATGGAATGGCGAAGTATGCAATGCCTCCGATGGTATATCCGGGCACCACTGCCGAAGGAGCCGCCGAGAATGCTTTGATGAAGAAGCTCGTGTCCATCTAATGAGTTAGCAAGGAGCATCTCATTGGTCGCAGCACTTACAATGACCAAGCCGAAATTCGAGCAGATGTGCAGAATGCCGAACAGGATGCCCTAATATCGTCAGAAGCTACTGTTGATCACGTTTATGAGATGACGTACGCCTTTAGAGGTCATCGTCAGGTAAGTGGCAGCATGATTTCCATCAACTGGATGCCGCTGAGAAGCCGACTTGACGAGCTCGTACAGGTTGCCGATGGAGCCAACTTCGTCGACCGTAAACGCTTTGATTGAAAAATAACACGCGATGATGAGGATAACGGCAGTGTGAAAATAGTCGGTCAAGAACCTGCATCTCCATATCAGATGCCATTCTTGTATGCTTAAGTCAGCTGCTTACGTTGCTTTAATGCCACCAACAAAGGTATAGACCGTCACGCCAACAGGCAAGAGAAACGTCGCTGCCACAATATGGACTCCAGTTCTACTCAAGTCAGACCACACTCGTCACCAGTTGGGTGACTTACAGGGCTGCAATGACCGCCGCTGCACCTAATAGCATATTGGCACAAGCGAAGATGTTGTTGATCAAACAAAGTGTCATGAAGACAACATGAGCGATTCGCCCTGTTTTATCAGCTTTTCGTTATTGATTCTCCACGGAGAGTCTTACCATATCGTATCCGAACAACTTCTAGAGATGTATGGGCTTCAGGAATCTTCCTTTTGCAGGAGATTCCCAGCAGGGCGAAGAAGACGATCATCGGACTACAGCCAGCAGCGAACCAAAAGGGACCCGATACGCCATAATCATAGCCCACGAACGCAGAGCCCAACATAGCCGTTGACCAAAGCCATGACTATACAGAGAGTTATTATTGGTATGCTGTGCAACACTGGGAGAGCATATCCTACCGATATAACCGCAGACGCGGTCAATCCAGTGCGAACGGTTCGATTTGCCGTCATAAACCTGCAATGAGTTAGTATCTAGTATTCCGCAGTATCGGAGGAGAATACATTTCTGTCTTCTTGTTATCTTCACCTGCGGTTCTCTTGAGGACCTTGGTGATGAGCATCATCACTAGGTCTGTTAGCTATCATCTCAGGGGTAGGGACATCGACATACCAAAAGCAATGATCAATCCCAAAACCACGACTATCACGTAACCCACGACCTGGGGCAGAGGAGGTTGACCCACCACCTGGCCATCTCGAGCTCGATGGCTTGCCATGACTGGTACGAATATAACTGATGTACGAAAAGCGCTATTCCTATGGTGCGTGAATGAATGCGACTTGTTCATTATATATTTCTACTTCTGAATTTAGAGAGATAAGCCTGCCGTTCTACGTMCACTAACATGGCAAGAACCTTTCACTTATAATGAGATGATGAATAGAGATTATGGTGTGCTAGATTACCAGTTAACCATCCTTGATCAGCGCTTCTCCGCGGGTCCTGAATAGAGTCGTGAATCCTGCCCAAGAACCCAGCGATCTGGTCGGCGGTTCACAAGGTCCAGAAGCTTGACAACTTTAGAATTAAGTCAATTTGGCCAATAAGAGGATATACTATATAGGAGGCATATGGTATGGCATGTGGGAATTGCGCGATGAGGATTGTGGTTGACGAAAGGAGATCCTCGCCCAATTATAACACCGGCAAATCACTAAAGGCAACGAGTTGTCAACAACCAAAATCTTAAAATGATCTGATAAAGTCTAATGTGTTTTCTCCTGGGATCTTAACCCGGTTGTTCGTGGTTGTTCCCCTCATCCCACTACAGCACGCCATCGCGGCCCACATTGATGCTATAGAGAATCCAAAAATGGGCCATCAACAAAACATGGTTGGTATGATACGGGGGGGTCTACTCCATACATAAATAATTGCGCTTCCAATTGAATTATCTACGGACATTGCAGCCAGGCTGACTTATTCAGCTCGGTTCTCAGCGTCTTCATCGAGGAATATCCATTGAAAAGGAGAGAACGGCACTGCCGACCTTCCAGCTCTTGCTTCCTACCCTTTACCAGTCATTTGGGTGTCTATCAATCATGACGGTAGCCAGCGATACCTCCGCCACTGACGGACCACGAAAGTCGCTCATCCTCAACGCGTTCGTTGAGATGTGTATGTATCCAACTCTCACTGCACGACTTTTTCTGACGAATCGCAGGCAGCGGTCACCAGTCTCCAGGGCTATGGCGCCACCCAGAAGACGAATCGCACAGATTTAACGACGTAGACCACTGGATCGAGCTTGCACAGCTGTTGGAATCAGCCAAGTTTCATGGTATTTTCATCGCGGACGTCCTAGGCGGTTACGACGTGTACAAAGGACCTCGAAACCTCGCTCCAGCGATTGTTTCTGGAGCGCAATGGCCTGTAAATGAACCGTTGGCCGTGGTGTCGGCAATGGCAGCTGCGACGAGAAATATCGGATTTGGCGTGACAGTGACGACGACATACGAGCAGCCATATCATTTGGCTCGCCGGCTATCGACGGTTGATCATTTGTCCAAGGGACGGTATGTGAGCTCGAATCTGACGCGAAAGCTGCTAACGTGAGTTGCCTAGATTGGGATGGAATGTAAGCATTCTGCCACCGTATAATAATAATCATCCAGCTAATGAAAAACCGTAGGTTGTCACAGGATATCTGGACTCAGCAGCTCGGAACTTAGGCCATGCCCAGCAACCCCAGGTATGTCCAATCTCGACCCGCCAGCTTGGTCTAACAAGATCAGCACGACGACCGATATGCTGTTGCGGAAGAATACGTGAGAGTAACCTACAAAATCTGGGAGTCGTCCTGGCGCGATGATGCTGTCGTCCTCGATCGTGAACGCGGAATCTACACCGATCCCAGCCGGGTCCGACAAATCAACCACGAGGGCAAATACTTCAACGTCCCCGGTCCACATCTGTGCCAGCCGAGTCCGCAGCGAACGCCCGTCATCCTTCAAGCTGGCACCTCCAAGGCAGGAAAGACGTTTGCCGCACAACATGCGGAGGCGATCTTTGTGGCCGGACACAGTCCTGCAGTGGTTGCGAAGAATATCGCAGAGATACGTGCGATGGCGCAGGCAGACTTCGGACGCGATCCCAAGAGCATCAAGTTCCTAGCACTTTTGTGCCCGGTTTTAGGCCGTACAGAGGAAGAGGCACGGGAGAAATTCCAGTACTATCGCAGCCTAGGCTCGATCGATGGCGCACTGGCGCTCTTTGGCGGATGGACGGGAATCAACCTGGACACGTACGGTGATGACGAAGAGCTTCGGCATGTCGAGAGTAATGCAATTCGGTGGGCTGCCCTCCTATCAAACCGGAAATGGTGCTAACCAGCCCTGCAGCTCGGCAGTCGAGGGCTGGTCCAAATCAACACCTGAAGTCGCGAAATGGACCAAGTCAACGGTTGGCCAACATATCACAGTCGGAGGCCTGGGTGCCACGCCAGTGGGAACACCGGCCCAAGTAGCGGATGAGATGGAGCGCTGGGTGAGGGAAGCCGATGTCGACGGTTTCAACCTGGTGAGTTTGCTTACATAGACGATCAATCGCACTGAAATTGACAATAGTCAAGGCCTACGCGATTAAACCAGGATCTTTCAAGGACATTATCAACTTGTTGCTCCCCGAACTTCGCCGACGCGGACTGTTCTGGGAGGATTATGCTGTCGAAAGGGGAACCTATCGGGAGAATCTGTATGGCAAGCCAGGGCAGACAGGTCCCCCGGAGGATCACCCTGCGGCCAGGTACCGCTGGCGCGCGGGGGTAGATGCTGCAGATCATAAGATTCCCGAAAACTAGTAGAATGGGACGTGCAGTGAGTGACATTCTGTTTAGGCCGAGGCTGTACATAGTTCCCTGTTTTCAATCTCACATTTCCGAGCATTATTTCCGCCGTGACGTTAGTCTGAAGATAAATTTTTCATCAGCTCGATGCCTTTACGAACATTCAAGCGGGAAGAATGTCATCATACCACATGCGTTGACCCGCTGAATGCTCCCAATGAGCTATAGTCTCCTTCCTTGAATTCTCTTTCCCTGGAGCTCTAAAGCATAGTAAACATAGTATAGCAACTATTTTCTCCTCGAGACTCGGTTGATTCTATGTGTATCGTTCCACAGACTCTGCTGTAGGCGCAATGAGCGGTTGTATTGATCATCATTGTCAATTCGTGAGGTTGCATCGGAATCCGAGACATCCCAGCGAGATATTGCCATCTTCCAATGAGTGTAAAGAGAAGCAGCACGGGAAGGCTTCCTTTTATCTATTTCCCGTTCCGTACCCTGTCGCGTAAACAATCCTCGCCCGCTAATTGAGGTCTAGTGAGGGGCACAATAAATGAAGGCGGCTTGGCAAGCATTCCACGTCGAATCAATTAGTGATCGATTATTGCTTGACGAATCTTGTTGTTGATACTGGCTGCTTGACCATGCCTTGTGCAGGAAACCATCCATGATCCATATGAAGCAATCTTCTACCATGTCCAGGTCATGTTCGAGAGTCATTGCTTGATTCGAGGACGACGGCAGAAAGTAGATCAAGTCCTTGCAGAATTCCCCGCTTGCGGGCAAGCGAAAATTCCATGCGGGCTAGGATTCTCTCGACGCCGCGTGCACCGTCGTGCCTCTGGAGGCCCATTTTATTGGAGACCGACGACAACGAAGGATAGGGAGGATGATGATGAGGAATACGAAAGTCTGGGTATAAAATGGCCTTCCTTAACCGTTCGACAGGATGTTCATGAAAAGCGGCATCTTCTGACCAGCCTTCTCTGCTCGACTCCTCTGCAGAATGCATCCCAGTGCTCTCCTTGGTCTATTGGCCTTCGCGGCCGCGACCTCGGCCTTTCCTGCACAGCCAACCAGGACCCGCTCACAGCAGTCGATCCAGAACCTCAAGTCTAATATCAAGAATGTGGTCATCCTGGTGATGGAGAATCGCTCCTTGGACAACCTCTTGGGTGGTCAGACGCTCCAGGGCCTAGAGAACCCCGTCAACACGGGGCCCTACTGCAACCCCTATGACCTCAATGATTCTAGTCAAGGCGTTTACTGTGCTGCAGCCAAAGATTTTGACTCAATCTATAATGATCCGGACCACGCCATTTACGGCAACAACATCGAGTTCTATGGCACTTTCAACCCGGACAACACATTGATCGCCAACGGCACGTTGGTTGCCCAAAATCAAGGTTTCGTTCATGAGCAAGTGCGCAAGTATGGCGCCAAGGTGAAGAAGGCCTCTCTGGCAGCTCAGGTCATGAACTACTACACCGAACAGCAGGTCCCGGTACTGACCTCCCTGGTACAAAACTACCTGACGTTCAACCACTGGCACTCGGATATTCCAGGCGTCAGTAGACCATGCCCCTAAGTACCTTGGAAAGATTGATCTGACTCCAGTAGAACACCGACCCCAACCGTCTTGCGCTGGTTTCGGGTACCTCCTACGGCCATGGTCTGAACGACGCTGCGTTTGACAACCATGAGTTCCCCCAGCGGTCCATCTTCCAGCAGTTGACCGAGACCGGTCACTCGTGGATCAACTATGTCGACCCTGCCGGCGGCACCGGACCTGATGCGGGCTATTTCGACTGGACATATTCCACCAACAACCAAGACAAGATCCAGCCCCTGGCCAATTTCTATACCGACGCCACGGCCGGTACTCTGCCTGAATTGGCTTATATCAACCCTTCTTGCTGCGGGGCTGGCACCACCTCCATGCATCCCTCCGGCCTGGTCTCCGACGGAGAGGCTTTCATCAAGGAGGTCTATGATGCTTTGCGCGCCGGTCCTCAGTGGGAGCAGACTCTCTTCATCCTGACCTTTGACGAGAGCGGTGGATTCCACGACCACGTCCCCGCTCCTCTCGCTCCCCGTCCGGACAACCTGACCTTTACCCTCAGCACCCCCAGTGGTGTGGACTACACCTTCCCCTTTGACCGTCTGGGCGGTCGCATCCCGACGCTGCTGATTTCCCCCTGGGTTGCCAAAGCACAGGTCGAGCAGAAGGGTACCAATGCTCAGGGCCAGACCGTGTCGTACTCGGCTGCCTCCATTCTGCGGACACTGGGCTACCTCTGGGACTTTGAGCCTTTCACCCCTCGGGTCGAGTACGCGGCGTCGTTTGAGCACTTGATTGGTTCCACCGCTCGGACCGACACTCCCACTGCTCTCCCTTCTGCGGTGGCTTTCCGGAAGTAGAAATATGTACGCTTGGATTAGGCATTGGATACGTATGATCAAATTGTATGACAGACAGTAGCATCGCTATTTGTTCCGAGAAATATATACGAAGAAAATGCAAGGCTCCTATTCCTTTCTCCGACTTCGGCGATTAGTCAGGCTTCCCCGGAATTGTTTCCCCACAAACATTCTTCAATCTCCGCTTAGGTAACCATTTTGAGACATTGTCCGGTTCTGGACGCCCTTCGGTGGCTGAATTCCCCGACTGCAATTGGTTCTGCCAGACAGGAAGCTTTCTACTTTGTTCAGGGGAGAGTCAAATGGTGACTCCTATTAATTTTACTGCTTTATATCCCCAGGTTGCCAACAAGATGTCCCCAACCAAAACGCGACACTCGAGTCCATAGCGTCTCAACTCATCCTGTTATATAGCACGCATTCCACAGGTAATCAGGCCATGGCAAGTCCCGGCTCGAACTTCCCCAGTAAGAGAGCCGGGGAAGCCGAGATAGCCGTTGTTTCTCCTTCGGCTGGTCCGGCATGTCCGGCATGGTACTGTCAGCCTCATCTAGTTTACCTGAACTACATCATTATCTCCCTGGTTCTCTTTTCTTCGGCCAATGGGTACGATGGATCTCTCATGAATGGCCTGCAAGCCTTGGATCAGTGGAACCTCTTCATGGACTATCCGACCGGCGCCAAACTCGGATGGATCAATTCAATCGTCCTGCTGGGCACGGGCGTAGCATCCCCTATTGCCGCCTGGGTCTCGAACCGGTTCGGACGCAAGCCCGGAATCTACGGGGGTTATATCTTTTTGATTCTCGGCTCGGTACTGCAGACTGCCTCTCCCAACCCGACGGCCTTCTTGCTAGCCCGTCTATCCGTCGGCGTGGCAGCCGCTTTCTTCGGAAACGCGGCTCCGCTTCTGATCAACGAAATAGCGCATCCCAGTCACCGGGGCATCGTGAACTCGCTGTTTATGACCGGATGGTATGTGGGGGGTAGTGTCTCTGGATGGGTTATATTTGCGGTCCGAGGCTATTCCTCCTCGTGGTCATGGCGCCTTCCATCGCTTCTGCAGGCTCTTCTCCCGGCCGTTGCCTTTCCGGGCCTCCTTCTTGCTCCAGAGAGTCCTCGATGGCTCATCTCGCAGGGACGCGAGGACGAGGCGTACGCCATCTTGATGCGGTACCATGCAGCCGGCCGTCGCTCGTCCTTGGTCGATGCCGAATTCCAGGAGATCCGCGCGACAATTCGAGCCGAGCAAGACGCTCACAAGGGCGCCAATTACGTGGAGATGTTCAGTACTCCAGGAAATCGTCATCGACTGATGATCTCCGTCAGTTTGGGTTTCTTTGCTCAATGGGTGGGCAATGGTGTCATCTCATACTATCTCGCTCTTATCCTAGATACAGTTGGGGTAACCAGCGTCAGGGACCAGACGCTCATATTAGCCTGCCTGCAGATGTGGAATCTTCTGTTTGCCATTGTAGGTTCGCTGCTAATTGACCGATTCGGGCGACGCCCATTGTTCCTTTCATCGGCCATAATCATGCTTGTCAGTTATGGTCTCGTCACGGCACTGTCGGGTTCTTTCACGGTGACTCGTCATGCAGCCACAGGGGTTGCTGTCATACCATTCCTCTTCATCTTTTTTGCTGGTTATGGCATTGCTCTGTGAGTTCCCCTCTGGTCGTTTCGTCCCACCTGCTCATTCAATCCTAGAACTCCATTGATCACGGCGTATCCGTGCGAAATTTGGCCTTTTCGTCTTCGATCCCGGGGTCTGGCGGTGACGTGGATGTCCACTGTCTGTGCCTCGTTCTTCAATATTTTCGTCAACCCTATCGCCCTGGACGCCATTGCTTGGAAGTATTACTTGGTCTTTGTCACGGTCCTGCTGCTGTTTGGTGTCACCGCGTATTTTCTGTACCCGGAAACCAAGGGCTACACGCTGGAACAAGTAGCCGTTGTTTTTGACGGGCCGACCAGCCCAGTGGAAGATGTCGAAACGGAACCTAAATCAGTTGATACAGCAGAGGATCCGAAGGGCATCACGTCGACAATACACCAAGAGACTATTTAGTTAGTTTAGGCCATGAATATTGGACGTTTCTGCTCGCATCGCGTATACCAATTGAATAACAATAATAATAAGACAAGCCCAACCGGAATAACAAACGAACATCAGTGCTCACGCCATAGCCCCTCGAATCTGGAGCAGTTGTTCAACGATGACTTCGAAATCCTGGTGAACGCTATACGCATCTCTATCGCGGTACTCGACATAGCAGAAATAATCCTCCTCATCCAGTCTGTAAAAACGTACTAGCGGTCCAATTGCAACGGCTGCAAAAAGACTTGCCCGGGGTTTTCCCTCAAAGAGGCCCGAAGCCTCGAGTAAATCGAGCTGCACCGCGTCTTCCAAGGCCTTCCACATATCCGTGTCGGGCTCAGCAGATCCGATGCAGTAAACCTTGAAGAGTGGTAGGGTCCCAGATCGACCACTCAGATTAGTAACGGCAATCTGGGGAAACCTATCTCGGTCGTCCTCGTTTTTTACTGTGAAGTGCTTACCATCAGTCGATACAAGAGGGAAGATGGGTTTGAGGATCAGATTCCATACCTCTCGAACGTGGTCATGGCTTGACTGTGGGCACAGATCTGCTCCCATGCCCTTACCGTGTACCGGTCCTAGAATTGTTAGCATGTCTCCGAACTTGCGGTATTGCCAAATGAACTTACCATGGTCATTATTGAACTTGTCGTGGAGCAACAGTATTCGTCTGGCGGTTGTAGAAGATGGAATAGTTGGATGTTGGATAGAGAAGCCCAGGAGCAAACAGGGTGGTGCATTTATATACCTTCATGAGCAGTTCTACGCTTGAGACACAGTATCAAAGACACTGAAATGTCTGAGACAATGGAAATAGTGTAAAGAGGATTGTTCAATTCTTGCTAGTGGGTTTCTTTCGTGACTATATTGCATTGTTCCGAGTAGGGCATGTAGCAAAGGAAGACAAAGAGAAGCGCGACACAACATAAGATAATCATATATTTCTAAACAAGAGAATGTTCTCGGAGTCAATAGGCCTTGTTGAGTTATATTATGCCACTGGTTTCAAGAACTTGTCTTTTAATACTGAGTCGACATAATCTACAGCTTGGGATGAACACTAGAAATATATAACCTTCGCGAGTGCAAGAACCAACATACATTTCAAGATCAACACCTGACCACAGAACTGTTGCCATTCCACGTCACTGAGTCGAAATCATCACCACAATCAGAATAATAATAACGATAATGGAGCAGTAAACAGGACCAAAGCCTTTCACGGCGACATCATTTAATAAGTTTCCTCCTTGACGCAAACAGTTGAGATACCATGTGGCACAAAGCACACCGGGTCAATCTTGGCACGAATCTTCAACAAGCCTTCGAGAATGGCATCGTAATCGTGGTGGATATCCCACGCACCCTCCTCCTCATCAAAGCCAAATCCCAGAATTCGCCCTTCTTGATTCAGAGCGACAAGGATGAGATATATATACCGTACTCAGTAGGGAGAAATGTGCTCTCTCATAGTAGCATCAGCACTGCAGAGTGTCTAAGACATCCCAGAAGTCGAGAATGACAGTACCTGTGTTTCAGGCGCTGTTGTTCTTTGAAGTCCAAATGGCATCGTCTATATCGCACATAATTGCACGACATTCGGCGAACTTACAAGGAAATATTGGGAGACTATGTCAGACAGAACTGATCTTATCATATCAGCGGCATGCAAACATACATCAAGGTAACCAGCAGCCAGCTTCCTAGCATGGCTGTCAGTTTAATTGACATGGATCCGCAACAACAGTCAACCCTCATTTTTAGGCTCTACGTATACTCCCCTCGTGAAGATTATTGCTTTAGCTTTGTGTTCTGGCATAGTGGTCATGATTACGGGGGTAATCTCCTATAGCAAGCAAAGATGATAGTATGTGACATTTACTATAATAGATTATAAAAGTGGTATACAATGTGGTCAAGACTAGCGAGATCTAGCACCCTAGGAGGTGGTAATTCTAAGAACAAAGTACCTTTATCTCTGACCGAACTGTATCCGCCAGAGCAGTCCTGTCAACTTGATGGATATGCTACCTCTACACTCAGAAAGCCTTGAGAAGTTTCTTGTCGGTATAGAGCCACCTCGATAGCAGAACAATCGCGGACCCCGCGAGGCACATGACCCCGCCAAAAATCTTCACGTCCAGCCAGCCGTTGGCCGAATTCTGAAGAATGGCTCCACCGATGGGCGCCATGGTGAGGGCGGGGATCGAGATGGCGAGGAAGACTACGCCCAGCCGATAGYYYWTYWMYG